AGAATAAATTGTATGGAGCTCTCAACGAGGTTATCATCGGGTCTACCTGCCTGCCTGCATCGGCCACTTTTTATACGTCTGCTCTTCTGGCTTCTATCTGCCGTTTTCTGTTTCCTGTCACGGGATGCTCGTCAACACGTTTTTATAGCCTTTCATTTGTTTGTTTCCACGTTCGTTAGCACAATGTTGTGCAACTTGAGTCTGCGTACGCGTTTTTGCGTGTCCGTGCTTATTTATATGTGTGTAAGTATAAGTGCGTTTGTGTTTGTCTGCATGCCTCTAGCTTATGATGGGATATATATTATTTATTAATAATTAATATATTATTAATAATTAATATTTTATCATCAAACTGAAGATATATGCGGCACAAGCAGCTACTACATAAGCGCATAACCGCAGTTTGAATTAATTTAATATTTTTTTCATAAATTGATTAAAAATAAAAACTTGCAAATCATTTTAGAAACGGTTTACATATTGATATATCCATTTATTTAATGTGTTTGTATATGTGTGTGAATGTGTGCGTGTGTGTTTCTGGAATGGAGCATATTTATGTGCAATGTAATGAAGTGCAGTGCTGCAGTCGTTGAAACCATTAAATCGTTCAGCACCCTTCTTAGCGCCTTATCACGTATACATGATGTTCATTCATGTTCACGTGCGCTTGCGTTCTGTTAACATAAAAAAGTTGCTTGTATGTGTTGTACGTGCGTGCGGGCTAACCAGCAACATTGCTGGAATTTGTTTGTTCCAGGGCTTGAATACTATATAAAAAATTTGTCCATTTCCTCTTTATTGCACATTTTTTTATTATTCTAATGGTGAGAGATGTTAAAACAGTTTTCAGGCAAAATTTAAACTTAACCTTAACTTTAATAAAATGTTTCGTTGTGGATTTGACTCCAGAGATCCTACTGTCTGCCTAATCTTTCTTAACAATAAATTTCATTGCTATTGTTTATGTCTTTATAAATGCGAGGCTAGTGTTTTTTGGACTGTCCGGGTAAAAATGAAAATATATTGAGCGTGTTTTGAAAATTTTCTATTTTTATTACTACCATTATAATACATATTTAGAAAGAAGTCTTCACAAAGTCACTGCAACATTACCAACATTGTTTATCTTTTGACATTGTAATAAAACCTTCATTTTGCATATTTTTATTTTTAATACGTATAATTGTTTACGTACCTGACCGGAGAGACCCGCGTACGGTTTAAAATTATTTTACCTAAACTAAAATAAAAACGTTCGCATTGGTATGTTCATTTTTAGTTTGGCATAAATTATTTAGCTATTTTTTATTTTCTAGAATTGATCAAAATATTCATGCTTGGTGATATTACTGAATTGTTCGATTATCGACTAAATTTCAATTTTCATAGAATGATTATTTTTTTAAATTATTAATTTTTATCATCTTTCAAATGACACTCGCAATCTCATTGGTTGAAATTAGTTCGAATGTTTTTATTGGTTAGTTTTTTGAGCACTCAACCAATGGGAATGCCTAAAGGCATTATTAATAAATTATCGTTCGTTTAAAAAAATAATGTTAAATTAATTTAATCATATTTTTCAAAGTTACGTCATTGTTTCCATTTTCATTCAACGCTTTTGCAAATGTCACACTCACGAGTTTTATGTTCCATGACAAAAAAATATAAAAGTATTTCTAGCGAATAAACCAAAATTAAATCGGCACGGTGTTTTTCATTAGCTACATCTTGGTGTTACCATTATGAACATTATTGAACGTTGGCATTACAATTACCAGATTATACATTTCCAAGCTTAGTAGATCGAGTACTACATGGATCTAGCAAAAACAAACTACCGGCCTAATATACTATAAAACTTATCTAAATATATAGAACTATCCAAAATATCGATCTATACCATAGTGCGTCTTCTGTAATGCATAACGATAATTAGTCGGCCATTTCAATTCAAGTTACCATATATCAAAAATGTCGGGATTTCCATTCCAAATTAAACATTTTCATGCTTAGGAGATTGAGTACTACATGAATTTAGTTGAAAACTACCAGATTAATTCACATCATCAGCGCCACATTTTAAAAATAAAACTACACTGTGTGTTTAATTAATACTAAGTGATGACTATTTGGACGATTCAAGTATAAAAACGTCAAGATTTCCATTACCAAATTATACTCAGGGGATTGAGTACAGTATGATTCTAGTAGAAAACTACCAGCTTAATTCACTATATCAGCGCCACATTCCAAAAAAAATTGAGCTATGCATTTTCAGTAATACATAATGTTAAATATTTGCTGGATATATGTGGCCATATATCACATGAATCTGGTAAAAAATTACCAGCTTAATTTACTTTATCAACGCCACTTTAAAAAATCGAACTATAGCGCATCTTCAGTTATACATAAGCATAACTATTCGCTCAATTCAAGTTGCAATATATCAAAAACGTTGAGGTATCAATTACCAAATCATACATTTTCACGTTCAGAGGATTGAGTAATTCATGAATCTGGTAAAAAAAAACTACTGACTTAATTCATTATACCAGCACCACATTTAAAATAATCGAACCAAAGTACGTCATCAGTAAAACCATGGATCCTATCCATGAGTAAAACAAACGGTCGATTCAAGTTAACGTCGAGATTTCCACGACCAAATCATACATTTTCATGCTCAGAAATTTGTGATAAAACCATATACGTTAAATGATTCAAGATTCAAGACATATGAATGTAACACTTTTAGCTTACTTCACTATATCAGCGACACATTTCAAAAAATTAAACTATGGTAAAATTAAACCGTATATACCATTTGTATTATATATATGCATATGCATCTGTATATGTTCAATTTTTCACGACAATCTGTATGCATTTAGCATTATTACAAAATACAAAAACAACAGATATTAACAAACAAACGATACACAAACAAACACGTAATTATTAAATGTATAATAGGGGTTTACTGGGGTAGCAGAGAAAATTTTCTAACCCAAAATTTTTTCATTGCATGCTGGAAGCATTTGTGTTATCGAGAGTTATAAAATGTCTTTGTTTTGATTTGTGTTACATAAATTATCTTCTTGTGTTTTATTTTAATATTTACTCGCGATGTAAAATGCCGCAAAACTGATTTATAAATTTTTTGAGATTTTGTTAATGATAAAAGATAGATTTATGATGATTAGTAATTGACAATTGAAGATTTAATTATTCAATCAATTTTCACTTCAAAACTTATTTATTATCAGATCATTAGGTCAAAGTTAGTGTTAGTCTCCGCCATTTATTTTCAAATTAAATTTCCGAACAAACCTCTGGAACTATTCAGATTTACGCTTAATATTTCGTGAAAGTTTAGACGTTATCTATGGAGGCGGAAACCACCGATCAAACGACTAATTGTTCAGCTCTAGGAGCGGACAAATTAACTCCTGTTGCTGAAACAAACCATAACGATGGTTCGACTACATCCATTGGGGAGGAAACGTCAATCATCAACTTAATTTCCATTTGCAGTATGTGCAAAGAAAACCTACACAACAGGCAGCCAAAATTTTTAAGCTGCTTGCATACTTACTGTGCCCAGTGTGTCTCTTCTATTGAAAACCCAGATGGTCAGTTCTTAGTTAATGAATGATTGATTCTGAGAATAGTATTTTAAATTCAGTTCTAAAACTATAAATTCACATTTAGATTATTTATTTTTAATATATTTGCAAATAAAAAATTATAAATGTTTTTATCGTTAAAAAATTAAAGTGAGTTTTAGTTCCTTGTTGTGTTTCTTTTTCATGCTAATAAAATTATTATAGAGAAATTTTTTAAATAGTGACATGCTTTTAAAGTTGAGATTATTAATTAGAAACAAATCAAAACTAAATAGCATATCCATATACATTGTATATGTTGTACATTAGGCAGCATCATTCCAAAAAGTGAACCTTAAAAATTATTTCAAATAATATATATATATAATTATATATGCTATCATATAGGTAATGTAATTATGTATTATATGTTAATGCAATATGATAATTGGAGGTGAAGCTTCAACTTTAACAAATTTAAATTGAAGTTAATTGGTTAATTTTTTTTAATTTTTGTAAATTATTTATTTTTCTGTTAACTTAGATTTTAAATCAAGCCTACTTAATCAAGGCTGGTGTTTGTTTCGTTTGAGAGTTAAAACTACTGCTGAAATGCTATATTGCACTTTGTTGCTACATTATTTTTATTGATTAGAATTAATTAAATTAATATAGTAGTCGAGTGTAATAATAGTTTATTTAAAAAAAGGAAAAGACTTTTAAAATCAATGGTGATAAATGTTGTGGAAGTTGGTAACTTTTTATGGTTATCTGATGAATTTTTAATAATCTGATAAACTTTTGAAATGAATTTCTATACTGTTCACTGTTTGTAACACTAAATTTTATAAGAAATGGTTTTAATTGTTTTAATATTTGTCAGCTAATAAAATGCTATTGGAATTAAGAACTTTAATTGTTACTTATTTGTTTACAATATGGTCACATTCCTATTAATGTCAATTTCTTTAAATTTTGATGTTATGGTTGTAGTAAATATTTATATGACAGTTGCTAGACTAATTTAAAATGGCAAGCATAGAAATGAATGCAATGAATCAGACCTTCCTTTATATTTAATAAGTATTTATAGCGTGTGAACATTTTTTAGAAAATAGTTTTTATCACATCATCTTCTAACAAAATGCTACCTTTTTTATTTTCATATAAATTGTTTAATTATTATTCAAGTAATTACATACAATATTATAATAAATAATTATATAAATATAAATATTTTTTTGAATCTCAGGGCAGCATTTGAAATGTTTCATGTGCAACTCATTGACACACATAACAGCTGTGCTGGATAATTTATTCGAAATTAAGCCAACCCCTCCACCCTCTCTCTCCTCCTCGTCATCTCTCTCTGGGGCCGTCAATAGCAATGAATCAGTGGAACTGGACAAAAACAAACTGTGCAACGGTTGTGATGAAAATATTCCAGCATCCTTTTACTGTGTGGAGTGCAGTGAATGGCTGTGTGATCAGTGCACTCAGGCACACAAGAGAGTCAAGGTTTATTCAAGTTTCTTTCTGTGATGTTTTTTTTGCTCATGTACTTTTGGTAATTTAGATATGTATAGGCTTTTGCAGAAGCAGAAATTGTGAGTGAAATTTTGTTCATATTTTCATTAAAACTTTTGTTTTTATAATAGAAGTGGCTTCGTGAAGACTGTAGGAATAACTATTGATATCTGTGCATGGTGGCATATCAGTGATGGTAGACAAACAGTTTAAAAGTTTAAAATCAGAAATTGAGTTGATTTGCATTAATTTACATTGAATATTTTAAGAGACTCACTTGAGCACACAATGTTATTGTATTTATTAAAATTCAACAACAATATAACACCCATGCACACACACAAGTTTAATTCAATTAGATTTGCAAACAGACAAACACGCAGACAAACACACATATATTCAACCATGCAATTACACCACCAACAATTAATTTTTTTTATATTACAAATAACTTTGCACTCATTTATTTGCAAATGCATTGACAGCTTGCTTCCTTTTAACTGTCTGTGGGGCTGCACCTTATTAATTGTTTTAATAATCTTTGTATTGTTTTAATAACAGTTTTCATAATTGTTCTTAAAATAAATTGTTGAGAAAAACTTTTGGGCAATTGTTAAGTTAGATTGTACATTGTAGTGTTTTAATGATTGTTTTAACTTTTTTTTAGAATTAATCATTTAATACTCTTTTTTAATTTATCTTCTTGGAGGCAAGTGATGCACGCAAGTGTTGTTGCTGTTGCACATGTTGTTGTTGCTGTTGCACATGTTGTTGCTGTTGCACATGTTGTTGCTGTTGCACATGTTGTTGTTGTTGCACATGTTGTTGAGGCACATGTTGTTAGTGTTGTTGTTTCCCTGTGCACACACACATCCTTCTTATTGTTTCCATAAACTTTTTATAATCGTCATCTTTCATCATTTCCATTGAGTTCTAGATATTATTTTCTTCCTCCTCAGAAGTACAGCATCATCCAGACACTCTCACACGTTTTTTTTTCAGTATTCCATGCTTACAACAGTTAAACACACTTCTTCAGGTCACACAGATTCAAACGCTTTTGTGAAATTGATAAAACAATGGAAAATTTTTGGTTCACTGTTTTTCTCATTTTCTTTAATAGACTATTACACATTTGGTGGATTGGGCTTCTTTATTTTGTTACAACTTTTATAAACAGTTTTTCATTCAAAGTTCAACTGGTGTTGCTATTTGCATAAATCATTCAACTATTATGCAAACATTTACAAGTATTGATGTAAACCAATTCAAGAGTTTTTGAATATATCACACACTCAGTACAAATGAACTTCAAGCCATTATGTTGCCATTAAGTTGCTTATAGTAAGGTCTTTATATTGAGTTATTTTTCAATTTTTACTCAGGTGAACTGCAAAAAACATGAATGTACAACTACCTACGCTTATATATATATATATATATATATATATGAACTAGCATATAAATATATATAAACTAGCATTGTAAATATTGAACTAGCATATATATATATACTAGTATACTTTATATATATATATATATATATATATATATATATATATATATATAATATATATAATATATATATATATATAGACTGTATATATTTTCCTGTAAATGTATATATTGTTGCTAAGCCTGATAATTTTTTTATGTCTGCTTCAGGAAAAGGTGTGGGATGGTTGAAATGCATTGTTATTTGTTTGTGGCTGAGATCAAGTTACTTTTCTGAGTGGCTGAAATGCATGAAACAACTTGAATTTTTTATTCATTCCGCTTATTAATGAAATTTGTGGGGTATTTGAATATTTACCTCTAGAAACTGCTGAATGATGCAGCTGCGTACTAGTGACTAGCATGTGGAGTAAATTGTTGAAACAAAAACTCATGTGAAATCTTGATATCTCATGATAGGTTTTCCACAAACGTCACTGATGAACTTTTCTAGAAAATTTTGAAGTAGTCCATTTCTTTTTCAGGTCAACAGTTTGTACTTTCAGCTTTTTAACTCTGTCATGTATGTGTGTGTGTGTATGAGTAAGTGTGTATGAGTCATGTACTTTGACCTGCATTTTTAAACCTGCTGGAATGATATATGATTTCATTAATATGATGCACATGTTTTTTCCACTCCTAACCAACCACATTACATCAGGTCACATTAATCATTTCATCCTGTTTGGTATTCATCATCTAGTTACACATTTACTTGAGTCATGATTGGATACTCACTGAAGGTTAACATGATTAATCACCACACACAATGAATGATGAGTTTTGAGTTGTACTATGTTTTATTTTCTCACTGAAATGAGTCGTTAATATTGATTTATATTTTTTTTCTTCTCATATTTTTCTCCACATCTCTTTCTCTCTTTGTTTTCTTACTCTCTCAGCCTCAAATTTATCTTTTATGTCGTTTTTCTATCTTAAGTTTTTCTACATAACGTACATGAGCTTTTGAGACAGAAGTATGAATACAAATGGTCACACATATGTGAGAACATTTTCAGATGTGGGAACTCTAATAAAATTCATCCTCACACTGTTACATTGTTGTAATTATAATCAATTGTTAATTTCCTCTTTGAAGTCTTTATCTTCATCTTCACCTGTTTTTTGTCATCATTCATCTTCATCTCTTGTGGCTAATTGGAAAGCTATAATCAGCAGATAAACGTAGTGTGTACTACATTCGCCACCCTATTTATTCCTTACTAATATCAATTCCAATCATAATTTTGTTATCATTATCTTCTTAATATTTGCCTCGCTTTAGATTAGTTCACTGGATTTGTGGCATGTTTCAATTTTGTGGTTTCCACCCTGGGTTTAGAACTAACTGTGCTTGCTTTTTCAGACTTTTGTATATTTAAATAGGTCTATTTTATTCTGTTCTATAAAGAGCCGTTTCTAAATTTTCTAATGTTTTTCCTGTCCACCTGTTCTAAAATTTTACACTTGCCTGGTCATTTTCAGCTTTTTTTTCTCTACATGTCAAACAAATTTTAAACTGATGACCCAAAAAGTTAGATTTAGCATTTAACTGATAACTATAACTCCTAGTTTAACTAAAGTCATGATGTAGTAAGTAAGGACTTAAGTTCTCTTCATTTCATGAGCTCAGATCTTGGTGAGCTTTTAAACACTCAAGCAAATGAACATTCACTCATAAATCACAAACATAAGAGCTATTAAACACTTGAGCGTTTGAACACTCATGTTTGAATATTCACGCGTGTATTGCGTGTATTACAAAGTATCACATCAGTACACCGATATCATTTCCACGATAAGATACCTACCATTCTTTCTTGTAAAAATAAGGTGTCCAAAGAACACATCAGAATTACTGAACTGTACTTTTAATTGATTTACATATCTGCCATGCTGAAGTACTACTCATTCCAACAATCTTACCTCCCATCACCAAGTTTCCCTTTGCTGCCACTTGATTATGGGTATAGGAGTGGAAGTTCAGAATCATCACTTACCTTAAGTCATGTTTTTATATTCATTTTTGTTTTTATTTTACACATTTCCTTTTATTTTTTTTATACAAACATTCTTGTTTATTTATTTTTTCATTAAAATATTTATTTTACAAGAAGGAAATTATCTGTTTGAGCAGGATTAAAATTCATATCTAACATTGTTTATTTTAGGTAAAATAACAAAATCGTTTCATTCCGCTTGATTCTTATTCAATTTTAGTTATAATTTAGTTACGTAATACAGATTAGTTTAGATTCAGATAATCTGTCTCCTTGGTGATAGTTATGTTGCTAATGAAACAAATAGATATTATTTGTAGTAATTTCATTTAACTTTGCAATAACTCCTATCAACTACTTATAATTACAAAAATAACTTTGGCTTGCCAGACTATGTTTAAGCTATGTTTCTTCTTTTTTATATGCTAAAAACTTCACAAATTTTCTTTCTTTCGAATTTAGTACAAGTTGAAAACCATATGAAAATTTAATATTGAAGCATAAGCATGACGAATCAGATTTTTACCCATATTTAACTCATTTTTAATGTTGCATTTTTTTGCGTTTTCTGTTGATTTTTTTTGTTTTAAATTTAACTTTACTCACATCTTTCAAGATTTTAAAAAATATGTTGAATGAAACAGAAAACAAGGGCGCTATTTAACATACAGTCAATTAACATAGTACAATGGATTAGTATTGATGTCCTGGTTATGACATTAAACTGACCCTCACTGCCTTGTGAGTGATGTTGGATCATCAAAGGCTAGGCCCACCGCTTATAACTGTGGTTGCGTAAGGAAGGGCGTCCTGCGTAAAAATTAGCCAAATAAATTACTTATGATGGAATGGCGTCGAGGGGTATTTCGGTTTCATCATAGGTAGCCAAACGGCAACCCCCGATCTCGGGGAAAATGTCGTCTAAACGTGTGTTGTAATGGATTAGTATTGATTTTTTTTACATCCACCTGCACTACACAGATTTTTTAAAGTCAAAGGCTTCAGGTTTTATTTATGATTAAAGTTTATGATTAATAAGATAAGTCTTCTAATGCTTACTGATTTATTACTAACTTTTTGATTTTAAAAAAAATATTTTTTTAAAGTAATTTTTCAAAAAATCACCATACAACTTGCCAACCATTAGCTATATGAAATTGTAATTACCAGCAATTAATCACTTTTTCTGGATCATAAATCAAAATAATTTTACATTTGTCTCTTCCTCAAACGCTGAAGGAGCTGTTTGTTCATTGATCATCATTTTGTAGCTTCAGTTTTACCTACAAGAGCAGGAGTTTCTTAAGACATAATTCATCATATCAGAGTTTCAACCGACTTAATTCTATTTCTAGCTTCTACTGATACACACGCATTGGCATATGTTGTGCCTTGGTTTGTTTATAAATAAACATTCTTGTGTGTTAATTTGTTGCATGTTTGAACAAAATTCAGTCTCTGATACCCATATTTATTTGTTTTAAAAAAATTTGTTGGTTAAATGGTCTAAAATTAGGATGTAGTCGTGAGTTCCTGATTGGGATGGTGTTCATATATGTTTATTTACATGAGTTTATATGGGTGTTTTGTAGGCCTCCTGTATTTGTTTTTTGTGTCCCTACATGTTTATGGAAGTTTTTGTTTTCAAGCGTTTGTATATGTTTATATGTATGTATGTATATTTCATATGTATATTTGTGAATGATCTCTGATATTATTTAATAATTAGTTAAAAAAAATCCTATTTCTTTTAATGAAATATCGCTTTAATATCTAATTTGATGTACATGAATTATATATTAGGTATCAAGGTCAATAACCTGTTCCACCTACTCATAATTTCCATTTATTTTATTTTGTTGAGACATTTTGAGTTGAAAACGCATATTTTTAATAAATAAATAAATAAATAAATATTGGTTGTAGTTAATTAATTAAGTTGTGCTTATTGTATTTTAAATTTTTTCAATTTGGACAATAACAAAACAATAGAGATGATACCAGCCATTATAATAGGCCACGTGGCATAGCTTTACAGGATCAATATAGTTGCATTAGGATGCCTGATTTCATGCCGTTTCATGTGATTTCATGCCGTTTCATGTGATTTCATGTTTACTAAAAAATGTTTTAGTGCAGGATATGTTTGTATCCATTGTTTGTTGCTTGTTATGTGGCATTCTGTCATTCTACGCAATTAGTTTGTCCTTTATTTAAACAATCATCAACAACAGAAGCAGGGCATCTTGCCTCATGCAGGCCTGCTCACCTTCTTCACTAATTCTTTATAATTAATAATTAACAAGTTCTTTTTTATCACACGCAATAATTTGGCTGCTTCTCCATGCAAAAACAAACAAAAAGCAACTCTGTAATCAAACAACTTTTGGGAAGGGGAGGGCTAAATTTTTCAAACGTTAACCGGTTTGGATCTTTGAAAATGATTTAATAGGATTCATTGTTCACCGGGGTGGAGGGCAAATATTTTGTGATTGACGACAATTTTTGCTTATCACGTCATTTTTCATCAAAAACTACTCACAACTGGGGGGGGGCGGTCCCCTACTTGATCCGCCACTGAATGTATGTATCTACCCTCGTCATTTTAAATATAGATGTGTGTGTGTTTGTTTGCGTATGTATGTGTTTGTGTGTTTTATATTTTAATTGAATAACCAGAGCTGACATTCAAATTAAAACAAATTAGAATGACTGAAGTTATCACATGAAATGTAACAAATATGATTTATGAAACTATCTATGGGACAGACATAAATCTCTAAAAGATGCGCTCACACACACACAGTGCTAATACATTATAAATTAATTTAGACCTCACACGCATACAGGCATTTAATATAGATAAATTACTTGCAACAACGGTTCATATATTGCATCATACAGTCAAACATAATACATTCCTTGATATAATGTTGTGAATAGACATTAGAAATCTACATTGGCTACCAGACTGAATAGCTACTCCTAAAAAATGTATCTAGGTAAGCAAAACTTTGCCGGAACTTTTTCTCCACACAAACCTTGTTGGCATTTCCAACCTTAGGAAAGTTTGGTAGAACGTTTTATATGTTAAAATTATGTTGTATCGAATGTATCCTACTCCAAACTATGCAAACAAATGAAATTCAGTACTTGCTGCTCATGGTATGTTCCATTCTATAAAAGGTATTTTTCCAAAGGTCGATTGTAAATCATTGTCATGAAAATCACAATATGTTCTGCGTCAGATAGCTTCCTGTTTAATTTTTCGATTTTTACAAAATTTTTGCAAAGGTAGATCATAAATCATTGTCATGAAACTTGACAATGATGTACGATCTACTGCTGAAAAATTATGAAACGTCTCTAGTTTCATAAATATATATATCTGATAATGAAATTTTTGAAAACCATAATGTTTTTTTAGGATGATTAAATGATTAAATTATTTGTGAAGGTATTATCACTTTCTTCTGTGAGTATCTGTTTGTGACTTTTCAAGTTTTAGCTTGTTTTATCTGATGCTCGTATTTATGCAAGAGTTGATGACGATTACAAGTTTGAACGTGAGTAAAAGAATATGACAACAATAGTTTTTATTTTTTTTTAAATTTATTTTTCTTATCAGTTTTGGCAAACAATTAAGCACATTACTAACTTAAATATTGAATAGATAACCAAAGACCACACAATCGAAGCCAAAGAGCTTGCATTGGCCACAAGATCAGAAGAATTGAGGAATGGTGTGGGGAACTACGATGGCAAGACATCTTCGTCATCTTCATCGTCCATCAATCCCGCATTTCTATGCAACATTCACCCTCAGGAACAACTGAAACTGTATTGCTGCACCTGCCACAAGATGACATGCAGAGATTGCCAGCTGATTGAACACAAGGACCACAAGTATCAGTTCATTCAGGTTTCTTACGCTTCTCCCACGTTTCTTTTCCTTCATCATTCTGTCAACTTCATTTTTTATCATGTTTTGACAACATTTCAAATGCTTAGTTTCAAAAGTTTAATATTTTATTTTGTCATATCTCCTTTAACATAGTGAAAGAGATTATGTAACTATCAGTTAATAGCACATCAGTATAAAACGTCCAATGCACCAATTTGTCTGATGTGCCGTTACATAATGTTGGTATCTATCAATAACGCCTGAACATTTGTTTGCTCTAATTATTCAGGAGGCAGCCTCATCCTATAAAGACATTTTGAAGTCCCTGCTGATTAAAATTAAGGAGAAGCAGACCTACATTGAAAATGCTAAGAATCTTATAGACAAGCGTAACAAAGAGATCAATCAGAAAGAGAACTGTGTTGTCAATGAGGTGGGTGGTTGGTTGGTTGGTTGGTCTCTTTCTTCATGATCTTGATGTTATTATATTCCTTACCTACTGAATACATGCATAAACCGTCATTCAGGTTAAAGCTTTTGCAATGGGTTTGATATCACAAATTAATCACAAATGCCGACAATTAGTTGGTGATTTGCAGTCAATATGTCTGGCAAAAAAGAGACAACTTTTGCAGAAGGAAGCTGAAATAAGTTGTTTGTTTGATAGTTTGGATCATGGACTTCTGTTTGCTGACTATTTATTATCCTCCAACGACGATATGCAACTGCTCTATTCTTACCATCTGGTCGCAAATCGACTGAAAACAGTTCTGAAAACTCGTTGCGAGGTGCCTAATCCTCATCACGTAGTCGACCTGAGGTTCAACCACAATGCTGCTGCTGGATCAGTTGTTGAGAAGTTGGGTTGCATCGTTGTTGATGGCGTTCCATTCAACAGGAACTATCCATCTTCATCTTCAGCCTCCTCGTCGACCTCCACTATACTTCCTACTGACAACTGTGGCTATGGGCAGAATGGTGTTGGAGTTGCAAGTGCTGCCAATGTCATTCACCATGGCATGTTCAATGTTCATCCTGGTTATGATCATTTGTTTTGTTTGTAATTTATTTTTATTATTATTATTTCTATAATTGCTTAATTGATTGATTGATGTCAGTATATTTGTCTTATTCTTCAAGGTTTGACAAAGACACTGTTGAAATGTTTATGCAGAGAAATTGTTTGAACGGATTTTAGTGCAATGCTTTAAATTAATTTCATTTCACTAGCAGGTCTGCCTCCTCATCTCCAGCAACAACAACAGCAGCCACCGACGCTTCAACAACAACATCCTCAACAGCAACTCACTCCTCCCATTGGTCTGGATGCCAAGATGTATGCCAGGAGACAATCGGAAGAGCGCAGACAGCAACAAAGAAATCATCACCTTCAACAACAACAGCAGCAGCAACAGATGCAACTTCAGCAGCAAATGTTAAGCGCGTTTGGTATGCGGTTTCTTTTTTTTATTCTTGTTATTTCCATATTATTGTTGCATTGTTGCTGACATTTTAGTTTTGTTGTTCTTGTGGCGTCCAATTGTGAAAACGAAGCTTCCTTCCCAGTTCATTTTGGTAATATCAACGTGCTAATAACAATGACATTGATTGCAGATAATCGCATCATTATGCCCAACCAGTCAGCCAACATATCAAGTTCAAATGCATCATCCAAGCAACAACGACTGTCGCGCAGCAACAATGCCGCATTCTTCCAACAACAACACCAACAGCAGCTGCAACAACATCTGCAACATCAGTTACAACAACATAGCCTGGTAAGAGTTTTATCTGCTATCATGACCATTATGAATTATGTTGCTTTCATTTGCTAAAACTGCTATATTTATTGACTTGCTCAATGTTTTCCATTGGATCACCGTCAAAAATATTTAGGTACAGTAAATGATTTTAATTAGAAAAAATGCAGAAAATGATTTTAATAAGAAATAAGTGGCAATAAATCTATAAATGGTGGTGGTAGGATATTACAATTGATAGTCAGCAGCAAGCAGCAGATTTCAGTCCACCATCTACCATTGTGTAATCGTTCTTAATATGCAAACACTTGCTCACAATAATGTAATGTATTCTTAGAAGATGAACACAATTGGTTACCACCAACTTGAATGGTGCACGTAAACATAGAGTACAATGATGATGTTAAGTACAAATACAAGTACCTTATTCTCAGGTGTAAGTACACAAACTTCAGATTTTCAAGTGCTTCATTATTTCTGTAGTCATGAGTAATATTAAGCATTTTATCTTATATAAACTTTCTTTCTGTAGTTACTGTTTTCAGTAATATTTATTTGTTGCTATTATTGCAAGTATTTATTAATTATATTGAGTGCTTGCGAAACTTGAAATTTCACACTCCCCATAATAATTTCATTGATCTAATTAATCCTTTCCACTTTATGATCCACTAATGTTTTATCTGCAAGTTGCTTGGGTACGGTCAGCTATTAGCTGTTTATTTTTTTCAATTGTTTCTCAAAGTTTAGTGTTTTATAATGAGCTTGTATACTGATCCCATTTAGATGGTATCACACTCATTCATACTTTTTCAGTCACTTTCCACACAGCATGAATGAATTGTTAGTCGTTTTGTTCTATATAATCTTGGAGAATATCTGAATGTGTGAAGAAAGTTCAGTTATCTTCAAGTCAGTCACAATAACTCAATTGCCTCAACAAAATTAACCAGGTTTTTTTGTTGGGTTAGGTTAACGAAGCTGAACGAAATTGTATTTATCTTGAAATAAATAAAAATAGTATGAATAAGACTACCTCTTTATTTTTAATAATGGCTCAGTCCCTGATAGTCTGTGTGCCAAAAATGTTTACGATCTTTTCTAAGAATTTCTTGGGTTGTTGCCAAATGCATATCTTCAATCTAACTTTCTGAGTATTATTATTATTGTTATTATTATTATTCATTTCAAGAGTTATTACTCAATCTTCTACCGTGATGATGATGATGCTTGAACAATGTACGTGTTGTGGGTTAATAGCAGAAGTTTATTTATTTATTTATTAATCATCAACTTCCTGGTCCTTTTGTTTTATCACATTGTTCCTTGACCCTAACCATTTTTATTATTTTTTTGTCATTATTTTTCACCTGTGGTGCAGTGTTTACCTATATAAAGTCCATTATATGGGGTATAGATTTTGTGACATCAGGATGACAGATGTGTTTTATTTGTTGTCAGTTGCCATGCATATGTTGAATATAACTTTTTTGTATAATTAACATTCATATGGATAATGCAGCATAAAAACCAATAAAGGGATAAAGGACTGACTACTAATAATTATGCCATAAATAACAAAATTTTTATGAATGCTGTCCTATTTTAATATTCTTTCGTTAATAATTACCTCAACCTGATTCAAGCACTGCAGGTTTCTCTCTTTGTTTTCCATTGTTGCTAATTTGTGGCGAATGTGTAAACCTATTCAGACATGCCATTTAACTAGCGACAAATTTTTACTTTTTTTATCTTTCCATTATACATTTGTTTATTTTTATATATAAGTGTTATTTATAAGTTACGCAATAATAGATCAATTAATACAATTATAATTATTTTTTAAATGGCAGCAGCAGCAGCAACAACAACTGCAGCAGCAACTTCAGCAACAACACCACCACCTTCAGCAACAACAATCTCCAAACAATGCATTTGTTTTTCCACCCGGATTCTCTCCTCACTCGAACGTTCCCCATCATATTCATCCTCCTCCTCCTCCTCCACACATCCAGCAGCAACAGCAGCAACAACAAAGCCACCAACAGCAACTTATTAGCTTGAGTCTGCTGCAAGAAGGTCGAATGCAGAAGCAGCTGAAGCAGCATCATCAGCAACAACAACAGCATCAGCAGCAGCAACAACAACAGCAGCAACAGCAGATGATGTTATCTTCAACAAGACCTATCGTCATTGAACCATCCAATTCCGAACAGATGCTCTCTCCAACCATATTACGTTGTATGTTCTCATCAATTTTTACTTTTTCTTATATAAATTAAATGAATATTTAATATTCAATTTTTTCTCAGTTTCACATGCTAACGTCTGATATGCGTATTGATTTCAGTTCTCACAGATATTCATAACCGATTCAATTCGTCTTGGATTTTAAAATATTCAAAATATTAAATTTGAGTGTTTTCACTCTTTTGTTTCTGTTATATCTTGAAGTTTTTACAACTCAATTCGTTTTATTGGCATGCACTCAACGCTTTCAATTAATAATGTATATTTGACTTTTATGTCTTCCTGTCATTATCATTGCTGTTTTTATTCTAATCATAATGATTTATTTAATTGTTATTTTTTTCATTTTAAAAATTTCAGTACAAGAGCAACTGACATCTCCATCGATGACGGATGACAGCAGATTGTTCGATCAGTCCATTTTTCCAACCATAATCAAACAGGAGCACAAGAGACATCATTCACACATCGACAAAGTATGTGACGATCAGTTGATTGCATGCTATGAATAAAGCTTAAATAACTCTTGCCTATATCTCTCTAATGAATTTATTACAATTTCACTTTTACCAGACGTTTTTAAAAGTTATTAATTTTTCTAAATGTTGTTTCAATTCAACAGCACACTTATAAGTTAACTCATGTTAAATGAATGAGATTTATAACATCAGCAATAGTAAACTTCAAAAATGAATTAAGATTTATATGATAATTAGAGCAGAAATAATATTTGACTATCATCAATCCATCATTCAGACGACATCATCAGTGACCAGTCGCTCTCCGACACCTCGAATTGAATCAACGACATTCGATAGCAACATATTCGACGCAACAAACTTTTTCGACACGACATTCGACTCATGGACGGGCAACAGCAGTAACCATGGCAACACTGGCAAGGAAGCCACTGCATCCCTGACAACGCAGAGGAAGAACACCCCTGCAAATTCCAACAATGCTACAAACAAAAATGCCAGCATATCACTGAGCAGTGGTTGGTTTCTGTTATTCACATGCTTGTTTCTGGGTTTTTTCAGTTAACTCTTACACAAAAGAAAAGACAGAAAAAACTGTATCTGTCCATCCAGTTTTTAAAACACATAAAAAAGACTGCATGATTATCAATGAGATTTATATTCTCAAGTTACTAACGTTATTTAAAATAAATTTTATTTAAATTTTTTGCTCTTGCTGTTTCCAGTAACCAATATTTACTTGGCTGCTGAACCAATATAATAATATTTTAGCGTTTAATAAGTCTGCCGAGTTTAACTTGACTGATGCCAGTTCAAATCAATGAATCTCAAGTTTGTTATTTGTAACTATGGACAAGATGAAATTGAAAGTTATTCATCAATAAGATGCTTTACACTACACAATGCATCATAGCAGAACATAATAAAATCAAAAACAAATTAATCCAACATTTACCACTTTATTCAATGAAGAAAATAATTTTACCTTCAATTGCGGCAGATGAGTCTCCGAGCAACATTGCATTTTCTCCATCAGCTATGTTGAGATCGTCAGGCGATCCCAGCGATGATTACTGCGCAATTTGCAACAATGGAGGTGAACTTCTGTGTTGCGATGGTTGTCCCAAAGTTTTCCACATGCAATGTCATGTCTCACAACTAACTGTCGCTCCCAGGTCCATGTTTGTTGCCAGTTTCTATATGGATGGTTTTATTAAATAATTTTGATACCCTATCTAATAAATCAGACTATGTTTTAAAGAGAGTCAATTAAGTTTATTTGTTACACACCCACGTAACTTAATGTGTATCTGTTGTGTGCGCACTTAATACAATATAAAGATGTTAGCTACGTGGCAGGCTGGCACGCATGCAATTGAATGTTCTTTTTAATCACATTACTTCCAGTGACAAATGGTACTGTGGCTTGTGTACTAGCGATGATGTCTTGAGGTTGAATTCTCCTGAAGATGATGCTACCAACTGCAGCGCTAACAATGTTGCCAACACCAACAAAAAGAGGCAACATAAAGTTGATTTGACAGAAAAAGAAAAAAAGGTCATTTCACATGTTTCTGTATAAGTGATATATAATATATATAAAATATAGTTTTATTTACCACGATCTAACTTAATTTTTCATGTTTCTGTTCCATGGAACAATATATATATATATATAATATGGAATGATTGATATGCCATCATCCGTGTTGACGGTTATGGATGTCACCGCATGCTACTAATGTCATTTTGAAAGATGGACCCAATAAGCAGACATTATTTAATGAAGACCTCTGCTTTTCAAAACGAACCAGCTGCAGTTGCATGGCATAGATATGAAATATGATTTCGGCACTTGAATGTTGGGGAAGAGTTGGAAGTAAATTTTTATTGTGCTTTTGACGAATTGTGAGATTGAAAATACAAAGTTGGAGGTTGAGATTTTGGCAGCGATTTTCTATTTAAAATTGGCTTGTGTTCACTAAAACTTTTATTGAATCACACGTGAATAACTTCGAGCAAGAAATAATCGGCTTAAATAATTTGTTCTTGAAGTGAGCTTGCTTGTGAGTGTTACACACGAAAGTTAATTGAGATAATCATTATGCTGTAGTTTTTAAATTATCATCTATCTTTTCAGGTATGCGAGAGATTACTGCTGGAGTTGTACTGTGACTTTGAGAGCACGCCCTTCCACGAACCTGTCAGTAAATCTGTGGGTATTAATGCTTTGTTGCACGGATGATAGATTTGTTTTCTACGGTTTTTATGCATTAATTAAATTATTAATTAATTAATTAATTAAGACCCTGCTGCTACGTTGAACTGATGTTTGTTTTGCTGAGTGCTGAGATTTTGTGTACGGTACGACCTGTAAAACAACTATGAAAAAATTTATAAAAGGTTTTCACGTCTGATTTATTCCAGGGTTGTCTTCATCAATAGATAAAAATAAGCAGCTCTAGAAATTTATTTTTCATTTTATTTTTTCAAATTTTACTTGCTGCGCTTATTTACATTTGTAAGATTTGTTGTTATAAATCTTGCAAAAGTTTTTTATAATATGTACGTTAGCCTACATCCGTAAATGTAATATTTACATTTCTGTATTGTAGGTACCAAATTATCACAAGATCATTTCCACTCCAATGGATTTTCGGACGATCAGGATAAAATTGATGAAGAACCATTTTGAAAAGTACCAATCAGTTGAATCGTTCATCAAAGATGTCCTTCTCGTATTTTCAAACTGTGCAACCTTCAACCCAGTTAGAATACAATACTTTCTCATTTTGTTTGTACTCATTGAAGAAAAATGTAAATTATTATTAATGTCCTGTTTTTTCTTATCTTAATAAATCATACATGGTTTTCAGTGTTGTTACGGTTGCATGACAAGCCTCTTTAAGTGGTTTGCATATGTTTATGTTCTCTGCCAGTTTTTCTCATTACACACTCAGAACGAGTCTATATATTGATATGGTTAACATTTGATGACCAACTTGCCATTCAAACAAACTGGTTATTTGTTTTTAAGAACGTTCAGTAATGTTATCATATCATGTCTAATTACTATTCTATTCACTAACAATGTCCTAAAAATTTGAATTAAAAATTTTTTAATTTTCGATTTGAAGGAGGACACAGACATTGCAAGGGCGGGTAGAAGATTGAACGGCAAGTTCCTCAAGAGATGTTCAGACCTCTTACCATATCTTGATCTTAATTCATTTGGTCTTAATCCAGCGATGACTCAATCAACTCAGTCCGCAAACATTGCATCGACCGAGCTGGAAGAGACGAGTGACAACACAAACGACACCATCGAGCAAGATGCCGCTGCTAATGCGAACGAGATCGTCGATAACACTGAAGACAACATGCAGGAGCAAACTGAAGAGGAGGACAACAACGAAGTTGAGGAAGTTCCAGCTGTAGATGACGACCAACCACAAATCAAAAAAAGAAAAATTGATGGTGATAACGAAGGTGACGACCCAATTGATCCGGACTGCAAATTAATTGAGACGCCCAAACGTGTTGATGAGCGCAGTGACAGTCAGTTACCGAACATTTCGATTAAAATAAAAAACATTCGAACTACAACAACATCTCCAGACAGAGTGTTATGCATAAGTTCAGGTGAGGAGGACACCGGCAGAGATGATGAAGGCAGGAGGACTTCTGCTTCCATCTAGTGACATAACTCTTTTCAGCAATCATTCACGACTAGCTCTGATGAAACTGCAATTTTATATGATCTGATGATGTTGAAGCTCTCAATATTAATACTTCCAATCTGATATTCATTATGATGAAATGGTAATTGGATATACAAAGCTAACGGTTTAACGGAACTTTCACCTATCCTGTTTAATCACTACACAGTACACTTTTTCCCATCTATTTTGTTAACTATAATTAAGACAAAGTGTTTGGGAAGCTTTCGTCATTTGTTTCATATTTATGCATTTCATTTGCATCTCTTCTTTTGTAAGATTTTTCTGTCAAAATGTTTTTCTACTTATTTAACTTAAACAGTTCCATTATTTGTAAATAGTCAGCAAACTTAGTCAATCTTTTTTCTAACCATCTATTTTATGTTGCCATTTGTCGATTTAATAAACGTTGAAGCAATATATCTGTCGGACGCACACATGCACACTGCATGCTGAGTTCATTTTCTCATGTTCATAGATTACAATCGATTCAAAAAACAATTGTCTAGCTTTAACGAGGCTGACTCGTTATTTTTATTTTCTAGCAATTAAGCAGATTCCAATTAGTAGCAAAATATTAAAAATGAATTTTTATTGAGTTTGTGCCAAGTCAAATTAAACAGTTTATTTGGTTATTGTTTGTAAAACAGTTTTCTATTTTTGAATTTATTTCTTATTAAAATTTATTTCATTCAATTTCAAACAGCACATTTTTACTTTGAAAAAGCAAATTTATTTTCAAAAAATATTCTCGGGTGCACATTACAGCTCTTTTCAAATGTTACACGCTGTTCACGAGTGGGATACTGACTTACATTTATACAGTATTTCAGAAATTTTTACCTTTTCATGAAAAATTAAAATTACATCGTAAATATCTGTTTTTTAGTCTTGTTTTCTAAAAAGACCAGATTTTATTAAAAATCCATATTGTAACAAACGAAACCATTAATCTATAGCTTTCTATTACAAAATCAGGCTTGAACCATCAATAAATGTTTATTTCTTCATTTTAATAGCATTTTTAATTGCAAGTATTATTAATCAAATAACATGTCTACCTTCTCAAATTAATTTAAATTGAACTTAATTGTTTCATAATTTATTTAAAAAAAATGTAAATAGAAATAAAATGTTTAATAAAAACTGTTCTGTCAATTAGTTGAGAATAAATGAGTGGCATGCTCTCAGCCATCCTGCTGCATGAAAGGATTAGGAATTGCTTCCATGCCATCGATTGGACAAACCAGAACGACCGATGTACCTCGACACACCACTAAACCCAACTGTCTTGTGTCTTCTGTCAGTTTAAATGTATCATCTGGATCTGCAAAAATTTTTTAGATACCAGTTTTAATAATAGTAATTGCTTTTAATTAATTGAGCTAAAGCATGTTTTTATTTATTAATGTATAAATAAAACTTTTTTAATTAAGCAATAGCTGAGTATGTAAGTGAAATTAATTTAGAAACCTCTCAAATACTCTGTGGTTCCATCCAGAACTAGGTTCAGAAGTGGATCAAAGCCTTTTAAAATGCCACTGGCTGTGTTTGGAATGATATTAATATTAAATAGCTATTTATTTTATAAAAAAAATGTCTGTTTCAAGTTTAACCTTCTCTACCGCCAGCAAACTTCACTCTGATAGATTTATCTAAATATTTTGTTAAATCTAAAATTGTCTCCTTCTTTTTCTTTTCTTTTTCTTGCTGTAGAACAGAATTGTTTCAATCAAAAAAAATTAATTTGACAATATGTAAAATTGTAAATCCATATATAAATACGTATTTATAGTTGAGGTAAAAAGTTCAACTGGGTTAGAATTGCTAAGTAATTTTAATGATAAATAAAAACATTAAAATTAAATCTCCAGTTCTAGATATCTAATCAACCATCAATGGCATACTATACTTTATCATACATATTTGTTTTTATCTCAATTTTTGAATAACCTTGAGAGACTAAATAAAATAAAATAAATTGGGTCCATGTGCCATGTGGGCATGTATGTGTATATATACACATGTATGATTATACATACAACACATAAATGGGGCATGGCAGGTGTAGGTCAGGTTACAAAACAAAAGGAAAATGAAATTAATGAAAATGAAATTAATTAATGCGGTACTCAAAAAATTTCATTAAATTTTATAAAATAATTTTATATACACTCACTTGAGACATAGTTAATAATTTTATTATTATTATTATATGACAAACTAATTCGCCTAAACGCAGAAACCAAACTTTAGTCGAAGTTTACTTTTAGAAATCTAACAAAGACCTAATTTTTCCGTTTTTTCAATTCATAAGATATTACGTATGATCATATACATATATATATCATATATATATTATATATATATATAATAAATATACGTATGATACAATTGAAATCATCGTGAAGTGAGCGTATAGAATAGATCTTATCCCCAATATCCATTCATGCCAATATCCGATTGTACTTGCAATAAGGTACACATCGTTGATCCAGACCTAACTCTTCCTTATTAGTTCAGCACCTTATACACTTAATCCCAAAAGGAAAACGCAAAAACTAATTCAAACAGATAAATATATTACGCTAGAATTTTACAAACCAAAGAATATAATAAATTTTAAATATTGTTATGTATAATAACCCTATAATAATATTATTTCAAGTCAACGACGAGGAAGATAAGGAGTGCGAAGAAGTCAGCGACCGTTCTGTATGATGAGCAGTTGTGACGCCACGTAGTTTACCAATGTCTTTGTTTTCACTTTCACTTTCATAGTCATCATCATCATCATCATCATCATCATCATCATTATCATCACCATCATCATCAAAATTGTAATCATTTTTGTAATCGTCCCCAAAATAATCTTGATCTTTAATAAACTTATCAGCAGCAAATAACTTATCATCATGAAGGATTTGGTAATGTTTTGTAGTCATTCCTTCACCTGTCTCAAGAATGGTGTTGATATCATGAACACAGTCCTCACCAGAGCTTACGTTGAATGGTGCATTACCACCAGCATTGTCGATACTTATTAGATTGCGATTGCCATCATCATTATCATTTTTATCGTCATCATCTATCAAAATGTTTTCAGTTATGTCGTCCAAGGTTCTTGCACTGATCATGTTGAGGATGTTCGGCGACATCAAATCATCGTTCCTATCATCAATTATATCATCATTATTGCTTCCTTTACAGCTATTATCAACTGAACCACGGGTAGACATTTGCTGTTTTTTATGTTCTTCCGTTTTATTGTTATTAACAAGTGAGGAAGCATTGTTCAACTGTTGAAAGCCAGTGTTGGTTAGTGTGGACTGATGAGATGATGACGACAACGACGATGATGATGCTTTTGAAAATGACGAAATGTTTTTGTTCATGTCTACATTTGCTTCATCAGATATTGACGATGACATTGAAAAAGATGACGATTGTGATGGTGAATTAACATCATTCAGCTTATCAGATTGGGGTAAAATTTTAGTTGATAATAATGTGGACGCTGAAGCTAAATTTGTTACATGATGTGATGGTAATGCTGAATGAAGATTATTTGGTGAGACCGATTGTTTTGATAATATTGGTGACATTATTATAGGTGATAATGACGTCATTATTGGTGATGGTGTTCTCATTACTGGTGGTGATGACATCCTTATTGGTGGCGATGACGTCATTTTTGGTGGCGATGATGTCAATAATGGTGGCGATGACATGATCATTGGTGAAGATGAAATCTTAAGTGGTGGTGATGACATCATTATTGGAGATAGTGGCCTCATTTTTGGTGGTGATGATGATGGCGAATGTTTGGGTGATGATGATGATGTTGGTGTTGATGAAGTTTCAAAGATTGGAGATGGAGGGCGAAATAATGCTGAACGTGCATCAGTGAAGCCTACCGACATTTTATGAGATGTTTCTGGCTGCGGTGGCTGTTGTGTCTGCTGCATTAGCTCTCCACGCCGCTCGTTTAGTCGAAGAAATTTACTTGCTTGCATGTTTGTTGCGAAACCTTCAACATTCTGCTGCTCACTGTTGAATTGGCGTTCAGTGTTAACCATATGGTGAACATTGCCAATATTTAAATAGTTTGTATCTGCAAAATTTATGATTCTGCTGTCTTTGCTCACATTGTTGTTGTTGTTGTCGTCGTCGTCATTATTTTTGTCGTGGATTTCAGAGTTTCTATTTTTTATATTGAGACTAACGTCGTTGTTGTCATATGATCTGGCTCTGTTAATCTTCCTGCCCTCATTGAAGATGTTAGAATCATGAGCGCCAACCTGGCTGACATCATTCAGTGCCGCTGCTAACACTTTTTTAAGCTCCAGAGAACACAACTGATTTGTTATCTGAAATAAAATTTAAACTTTTCAAAATTAAACACGTTTATGAACAGTGAAATCGTAAAAAATAAATGACCAGTGATGCTAGTTGATGACGATGATGAAGGAAGATGATAATGATCAGAATATTTTTGAAATGCCAACAAACCTCGAATAGTCTGTTGAGGGCAACATTCTGTTGATGTGCCCTCTCCTCAACTTTCAACATCTCCATCTTGTTCAGCTGTTCACATGTTGCGTCAAAAACATTTAACAAATTCAGTTCCATCCTCAACCGACCACCAAGTTCATTCGCACCGAGCACCAGATGATGCTGTTGCTGCTGTTGCGCTTGCTGTTGCAGATGTTCCGGTTGTAATTGTTGTTCTTGTTGTTGAACTTGCTGATTGTTGAATACATTTTTTTGATACTGCACTTGAATTTTGTGTAGTTGCTGTTGTTGTTGGTAAATGACATCGTCATCATTTTTATCAGCGCCATCATCGCAATCGCCGAAACCGCCACTTGCACCACCATCCCTGAAATACAGCCCATCGTAATAATGTTTCTCAACCTCAGTCCCACCTTCGTCTCCATCGGCATTATCATTTGCATTGTAATTAACAGGTTCGTCGTGCTGCCTTTTAAAATCATTGTGCGATCTCAATCCAATGCCACTAACGTTTGTCATAAATTTGGCATCATCATCAGATTCATCATTGTTAACATCATCACCTCCACTACCACCATCTTTTTCTTTGTTGTCCTGGCAGTTATCATCACCATTATTAACAGCATCACTCACTTTCGCATCATCATTTTCGACATTGGCTGCAAAAAATTGAATTATAAGATGATTAAACAACAACAAAAACAACATCAGGTATTTTAATAATAACAGTAAAAATAATAAGAAGAAGAACAAGAGGAAGAAAACGAAGAAGAAGAAGAAGAGGAAGAAGAAGAAAAAGAAGACGAAGAATGATAATGTTTAACATCACCATTTGAAACTTTTCATTATTGCTAATGCAATGATGAAGTTAGTGACAGTTAGTAACAACAGAGTGGTTCTGTTATTTAATTATGATTATTTTCAAGAAATATGAAATTTAATAACATCATTAATAACTACAAATGAGTGAATTAGTTAAAAAATTAAGAAATAAATAAATTTATGAATTAATGCATGAAAGAATGAACATATGAATAAATAAACGAATGAATGAATGAATGAATGAATGAATGAATGAGTGAGTGAATGAATGAATAAATGAATGAATGAATGAATGATTGAATGAATGATTGAATGAATGATTGAATGAATGAATGAATGAATGAATGAATGAATGAATGAATGAATGAATGAATGAATGAATGAATGAATGAATGAATGAGCAAACTTTTAATGCGTTCCCTCCAGACAGCTAACACAGATCGTGTGATGTCATCACTAAGAATATCATCCAATAAAATGTCAGCTTTACTTTTCCATTCAGTCTGAATGAGTGGTGAGTGAATAAACAAATATGCCAGTAAACAAATGAATGAATAAATTAATGCATTAATTAATGGATGAATGAATGAATAAGTGAGTGAGTAACTTTTTGGAATATGGTCACCAACCAAACATTAATATTATAATAAAATAACCATCTAATAACAGTTTGTTATTTAACGATGATGACTGAATATGATGATGGTTGTAACATTGTAACATCGCGCCATATTATAACAATACTTAACTTTAAAAATTTAAATCATATTTTTTACATCATTTGAAAATGATGATGATAATGTTGATGATGTTGATGGCGTTTACGGTGATGATTAAATAGTGACGATTTGTTGACGATGATGTATAAAATATTAAAATAAAATTTTTGCTAAATTAATATAAAATCGCCAAAAAATAATGCAGATTTGAGCAACTAATTTAAAAAAACTACCTCAAGTCTGTTAGAACATGAAATTTTATCAGTAATATTACGATGATGATCATGATGATGGCGGTGAGTAGACTTGGAACTACCATTCAATAAGCCCAAATGATAGCGTTTCATCAAAATGTTAACTCTTTCTCTGAGCTCGTCATCATCTTCCTCACTTTTAATACCTTCTTCGTCGTCATCATCATCATTTTTGTTATCATTGGTACCTTGTGCATCTTTAAGCGAATTTTGTTCTTTTTGTTCTTGTGTGGTGTTAAACGCGTTTGATGTTCTATTTGAATCTTCTTAGGGGATGATTGTTTTGAAAAGTAATCAATTAATCAATCAGTCGATCAGTCGATCGATCAATCAATCAATCAATCAATCAATCAATCAATCAATCAATCAATCAATCTATCAATCTATCTATCTATCAGTTCGATAAATTGATCATCATTTTCGTTTAGCGTCATAACAACGCAAAGCAGTAGAATCTGAATTTTTAAAATCATCATACAATATTGTAAGAGGGCAACCGTAATATAAGTTACTCGATGACTATATACATTAATTAACAACATAATCGTACATTACGCGTCTGTATACCATTGAATATTGTTATTTTCAACGCTAAACGAAGGAAATGAACAACGAATATATCATTGATAAAATCATTATAACGAAGGCTTCTACTGTAGCTGCCATTTTAAATATTGTTGTCATAAAAGTCCTAACGTGGTCTGGGAAAACGATTTTGTCGTTGCAAAAAACATAAACAACGGAAATACAACACAATTAGATTACCACAACAGCATTACTTGAAACAAATTGCCATGTTGGACCACTCAACGTGCTGTTGATGTGTCTAGAGACCTGCTTCAATTCATTAAGTCTTTGTGCGAAGGCATTGTTAATTAGCTGAGAATTCTGTTGTTGCTGTTGCATTTGTTGTTGCTGTATCTGTTGTTGTTGTGAATGTTGAAAGTTTTGTTGTTGATGTTGTTGAGAGTGTTGTTCTTTTTCAGTGTCCTTCAGTTGAAATTGAATGTACCGACCGTTATCAGCTGATGCTGAATGTAATATTTGATTAAATTATTTAAAATCACATTAATTATATAGTCTATTTAAGCTTATTTGATGGAAGATACTCATCAGATCAGAACTACCAGCATATTAATTTATGTTCTAATCGTTAAACTGCTTTTTAAAAATTATCAAAAATAGCATTACTAAACAAAATGAATATTAAGATAAAAGGCAGACTCACCTATCAAATAATAAAAAACATTTCATAAAACAGAAAGTTGAACAAAAAATTCAAAATTATAAAGTCTCGAAACAAAAAAGCAAAAAGATGACAATCCACCCACAAATTTTGGACATGTAGAGCTTTATTTGATGAGCGTAATTTTTGTAGTTCTTAATAACATCAGTTATCTTTAAATTATTTTCTTTCGTAAATTTTCCTAAAATGTCTGATGCATCAAATGATTCCGATTGGCTCTTGGAATATAAATTCAACGAATCACCTGCCCTCTGCTCACAGGTTTCCTTGTTGGCAGCAATGTCCGTGTCAATAACATCCTCCTCCTCCTCCTCTTCCTCATCATCATCATCTTCGTCGTCACATTCATCGTAACTGCAATCGTTGTAGTCATCCTTTAGATCACGACCTCTTCTTTTGATGGCATTATCATTAGCAGAGTTATTATTGGCGCGTCTCATGTTCTTTCTTCCTCCTGAAAGAACGCTAATAATGAACAATGATGTTAATTTTATTTATTTATTTATTTATCACGATTCTTCCTTCAATATTTTTCAGGGGCATCACCAGCAAACACACAGTGCATGCAAATAAACATGGAACAACGCATCACACACACTGCATGTGATAAGCAGGAATCTTTCAGCAATCGAGTCTAGTCACTGCAATAGCAGCAGCGCCAGGCACTTTACCACTACACCATTGTGTCGCGTGAATGAGCAATAATGATGATGATGAATGACGTTGAACAATGATGATCATGAACTATAATGACATCAATGGTATTGATTAAAAAGACAAAATATTGTACAAAACCAACTTTGAAAAACCATTTTCAGATGACATTGAATAGCAGTTAGAAATATGAGATGGATGGTTAACTTTTTTGCAAGATTTTATGATCTCCAGTTGTTCTTGTTTTATTTTGTTTAAATTATTTTTAATACTTTCCTCTCTCTCTTTCATCGCTTTTTCATCCATCTTCATCTGCGTTCTTCGCTTCAATTTCTGCTGTCTTATCAGATCTTTAGCATCTTCTTCGTCAATCAGCCTCTTTTTAACAGGAGTGTACACATCAGTCATGTTAATGTTGTGTTGTATGATATGATTGCCATGTCTGAACAACTTTCTGTGGCGACGTTTCTGCTCTTCAACTAATTTTTTGCGTCTTGTTATTTCCTCTTCACTTAACTTCAATTTCTGAATGGATGGAAGTTCATGGTGATGTTGTTTTAATTCTTGCTGTCGTTTATGTTGCAGTCGATGTTGTTGTTGTTGTTTTGGTGGTTGATGCTCCAGATGACGTTGCTGATTCTTGAAATTAGTTTTAGCTGGCAGTTGTTTAAGCTGTGGCTGTTGTAGTTCTTTCTGTGGCTGTATGTCTTGAATTTCATTTTGTTGCTTGGAGGTAGGTTGATGACTAGGAGATAGAGATTCTGAAAATAATAAAAAAAATAAATTGAAATGTTTTAATTTAATATGTTAATAAATTGTTTTACCAGTATTTTTATTATTGAAAAGTTTATCTTTAATTGCAACACTTGTATTTTCTTCACAGAATGTGTTGTTTGGAAGTAGTTTGTTATCACTTCTTTGAGCAAAATCCAAAAATGTCTGATTGCTAACATGAACTTCCTTGTTAATTTGGCTGCTGTCTTCGACAGCATTGGTATCAACAATGCAACTATTGGCAGCCAGATTATTTGCATTAATGATAACATCACTATCCAAAGTTGTTTCAGCATACTTTTTGTCATCATAGGATGAGGTAACAGAATGTTTATTTGAAGTAATTTTTGAACTGCCAACACTATTAAATGCATAGTTCAAATCTTCATTAACTTTATAGCTTCTATGAAAACTTTCCTCTGTACTCACTGATGAGTCTTGATTATTTGTCTTACTACTAATTTTCCTATCTAGAAATTGAATGTTATTAACTTAATGTTATAAAAATTACACTAATGATTTGAATGATTTTAAATATATACTCACAGACTTGTCTTTTGAATGATTTCTGTTGGTTTTCCAAATTAACTTTCAGTTCTTCCCTAGGTTTCACAACATCTGTTATCTTAATGTTCAAATATTTATTGTTGTTTTGGCTTTTGAGTTGGCTTGATTGAATTGAATATTGATTGAATGACAGAAGCAAAGATTTTCTTTTGTGCAAAGCAAAATATTCATTTTCACAAAATGTTTCCAAAATTATCAAATATTACAAACTATTACTGTTGCAACACAACATCAGTCATGCATTCTAACTTTAGAAACATGCATTAAAAAAGTACTTCAATCAAAAGCGAAATTATGGACATACACAATATTTTGCTAACTCATTCCTGATTTCGTCATCCAACAACGCGAACAAGTCAGTCGGCAAGTTGAAAAAAGATTTGATCGTTTTTTCGTCTAACTGCAAAAATTTGCCATTATCGCGGCTTTCAAAATAACTCGTTTTACGTTTAAAATGAGTCATTTATAAAAAAATATAGTTAATAATTTTAAATGAATAATCTTAGCTAATCTTTTAATCTTTCGAAAGAAAGTGCAAAACAACGATCGGCAATGGCAACCAGCACAACCTGTACGAGCAGAGATGCAAAGATGAATTAAAAATTCTTCAAGACTTACCTGGACACAATTTTACATATACCCATATGAAATGAACTCTCCCGATTTCATGCAGTGTTTCAACTATTTCATTATCCAAAATTTTTGTAATTCACTGTTTAATCATTTAATTCATTCCCTGTAGATAATTCATATATACTTGAAAAATAAAATTAGAATTATGTTCCATAATTAGAAAGAAACCGGACAAATGGAAGACCTGCCAAGAAATAGAGACTTCTTAGAATGAACTAAGTTGTGAATTTTGAATTCAATAAAATTAGCCGGAGAACGATTTTGGAAATCAACAAAAAGTTTGACCTCATCGACGTTAGCAACCTCTCAGGGGGTTAATAAGGATCGTTGATTAATTCCTATGCATTTGCATTACCTTACATCAAACTATAGCAACCTCTGTCAGAAGTTTATCCTCACGTTTCATTTGATTAACAGCTTATTTTATACTTATTATGCATCGAGATAGTTCAACCAATGGAGCAAAAAATTCTTCAACCGTATTTTTCACATCTTTCATTACGTTCATTTGACGCGAAGTCATGCAAAAAATAAAATCAATCAAGATATACCAGGATGAGACATATTGGTATTTACAAATACAATGAATGAAAATATTAAATAATAATTTAAACAACAGTTTGCCAAATTTTTATCAAACAGTATTGATTTCTCCCATTATGTTCACTTTTCTGTTTTTGTATTTCAAAGATATTTCTTTCTCAATCTAAAAATTGAAATTTTAATAAATGTAAAAATGTGAGAATAAAAACATTGGTGAAATAGAATTGAGTACCTGTTGCTTTAGGATTTTTGTCTTTTTTCTCATGATTTCAAGTTTTGGTTCCAAAGAAGATTTTTGCTGAATTGCTTCATCTTGTCTGACTACCATGATTTTAGATTGAGCTTCAAACTTTTCACTATCAGAAGACATCTTCGTCAAATTTTCAACTATCTTATCCACATGTCTAGTACAGGAAACGATTAATTTTATGAATTATAGCAGCTTCACTTTATAACTTCAATCTCGTTAACAAATATTACATTAACAATAAATAATTAAAAATAAATTAGATCACCTTGGAAAGCTTAAAATCAAAAACAATTCTTTGATCTTAGATTCAGAAAATTTGTTGATGATGTTTTGAACGTTTGTCAACATGATTTCAACATTTTTCTCATCAACATGCAACAATGCTGGAGCAGACTGAAGGATGTAGTCAGAGAGAAAGTTGGATGAGGACGACGACGCCTTCATCTCGTGTCTACGTTGCATCAGGAATGCCTCCAACTGTCATTTCATGATTAGTTTAAAGAAATTTATAGGCAATAACGAATGGTGAATAATTTCTTGAACAACCTCATGCAAATCATCAAGAAGCAAATTTCTTGTTGTGATGTATTCTATCATACTCAGAGAATCATTCCCACGAGCCACTGAATCCATTTCCGCTTTATTAAAAATTTTACATTATAACAATTTAATCAATTGAACCAACTATATAGTTTCATTTTATGGTGGCCATCAACACATATCAAATTTTAATAAAAAAATAAACACGTGAGAAACACAGTTGAATGAGCCATCATACAACTGAATGAACTCGAACCAGGTTAGCGCCTCTCATTTCCAGAGCTTAATTGCCAACCAAGTTATAAATTTGTTAACAACTCAACAGTAGAACGAACTCAAAGATAATACAAAGTGACATGAACGTATTCAGATACTGAAACGGAAATTAAATGAACATTTGGAATGTTTACAAACGGATTTCAGATTTACAATCAAGAAATTAAATGAACAAACCAAAAACATGGCTTTTAACAGCGTCATTGTTATTAACTTATGTAAATAAAATAAAAACAAAATTAATGATTGAATGAACAAATAAATGAATGAATGAATGAGATAATGGAGCAACCATTAGCATCACCAGATCCAGCATCTTGGATTGATTGATCAACTACGGCAACATCTTCAATGCCCCAATCTATTTCTGACGCCACTGCTTCAACTCTTTCCTTATAATCCAGGTATTATGTGAACATTATGTTCAAAGACACTATTATATTTACGAATAGGAGAGTGCACTTTTATAGGAAATGCAATGCAATTTAAAAATTTTCAAATTTGAAAGTTTATTGAATCAAAAGATATTTTACCAAAACGTTAAAACATAGTTTAATATTAATACAGAGTGAGTGCTTACATATTTTATTCATTATTTTCATTAAATAAAAAAAACCGAGAAATAGAATAAAATTACTTGAGGCACTGTCTGAATGTCCGCATCAGAGCAGAAGTCAATGTTGCCCCAGTCAATCTGAAACAAGAAATAATGGATTGGTGAAAAAATTAATTACAACATCGCTATATCATTCTATTGTGAAAATACTTTGAAATTAATTAAAAACTAAAAAAATTCACTAAAATAAACGGTAACAAGCAGTCCAAACTTTGTCAGAAAAAAAATTTACAAAGACATTAATCAGCACCTCATCAGTTTTTCCATCTACAAGGTCCCCGTCAAAGCCATCATTTCCGAAATCCAACTGCACTTTAAGAATTCTTTCAGGTGCCACTCCGCGTTTCCATTCATAGACAGTCGTGTTACCCTTCAGTGAAACATATCTCAGCATCTTCAGTCTTCCTTCTCCTGTCACAGATCTGTTCGCAAATACAAAGTCAATATCTCAATTTAAAATAAGTTTATAAATTAACTCGTGGGAAAAAAGTATAAATATATAAAATAATATAAATTCAGTATATTTGAAAACTTTAATGGATAACGTCAGTTACCCATTTGATAGGAAGCTGACAAAATTTGAATAGAAATCCACTTCCTTGTTCAGCCCAGTGACATCAGCAACAATCTCATTGTAAAAATCTGACAGGATGGAGAGGAGTCCACACAGTTCCTTCTTCAAGGACCTCCCCTGGACAACATTGGATGAAACGATTTTGTAAATTATAATCTCACAATAGAAGCATTGCTGATAAAATTTAAATCATCATTTACTCCATTGAAAAAACAAATTTATAAAAATTATTCCAGGAGAAATAATTAAATACAGAAAAAAATTAGTTTTATTAAGTAAAAAAGGCTGGAAAAAATTGAGTTTTTCAACAAACAAACAAACAAACAAACAAACAAACAAACAAACAAACAAACAAACAAACAAACAAACAAACAAACAAACAAACAAACAAACAAACAAACAAACAAACAAGTGAATAAATAGACAGACAGACAATTTTAAACAAACAAAAAAAACTAACAGCAATGCCAAGATTTTTGCATGCTTTGTTATATTTTTCTCTCATCTCCAAACTGTTCTTGTGACACTCCACTTCCTTCTTCCCATACTCCTTTGTTAAGAAATTGGTATTGGTCATTTATATAGCCCCCACTTTATGTAATCTATGTGGTGGTCAGTCATTTTTGGTCAAGTGGTTTTGAAAGTCTCACAAAGTTAAAGTTTCATTTATTTCAGTTGAAGTTAGAAATGTTTAAATTTTCAGGAATATAAGAAATTTAAAAAAAAATTCATAGAATAAGCTAGATGAAGATAATTACAATAAGATGTTGATGAGATCACATATGGTGATGATAATAATGATAATGATGATTATGATGCAAAATGACTATCATCACACAAATGTTGATTTTAAGTGATGATGAGAGTGAATAGAATGCAGATGATGTTTAGTGGCAATGATGTTTTTATAAGATTGAAAAAGAACTGATAATAAAAATGACGATGTTTTTGAACAGAATGACAAGCAATCAATTGTAGATAAGGAAGATGATGAAGTGAATGAAATGACAAGAACAAATTATAAACCTGATGTTGCTTGGTTGGTTTTTGAAAGTGTTTCTTCAATGCAGGGATGTCATAGTTGACAAACCTCGTCAATTAGTTGACTGCTTCAACTTCCAAATTAATTTTTTTAATTACATTTTAATGTCCAAAATTATTTGACCTTTTTTTAAACTTACTTAAAATAAATGTTGTCTTTTCATTACACTTTATGATTTTTCTCCCATCCTATTATGGAAAATTAGGAAAAATTTAATGAGTTAATCAGTGGTATTAATAAATAATTTTGAAAAAGAAAGATAATTTTACTTGTTATTCTTTAGGAAAATATGAAACCAAAAATTTTCTTTGAACTTCCTTCAGTCTTCTTCAATATTTCAACAATTTCTTTGCAGTGGAAATAATTAATATCTGTTCATAAATAAAAGATTACACTAGGTGATGAAACAAATATCATCACTGTTATTTTATTTATCATGTCATGTTATTTTATGTTTATTTCTATTGAAATATTTATCACCAAAAACAGTAAATAATTAATAAATAATTAATAAATCAAGACCGAAAAATTGACAAATCCTAATTAATAGTCAGTGAGAAAGATTAAAAATAACTTACAAGTTCCTTGAAGAAGTTGTGTGATGCTATCAACTGCTGGCATGTCCTGGATGGCCAGATTGATTTGCTGGCGGACCTTCAACACTGCATCCTGCCAGGCTGGTTGACAATGACGCCTGCTCAACAACCAATCTGTGTAAACAATTAATTACGAATTATTATTTACTTGAGTATTACATTAATGTGCATAGCCAGTTAAGTTTAATAATCCTAACTAAATGATAAATTTAATTAATATTATAATTGTCATTCTTAAAACATATTATAAATTATAAAATAGATTACATTAGAATTAGAACAGATAAAATTTTATCTAGTTCTGTTATAAATAAGTTAGTGCAAAAATCCTAAAAAAATCAGCTAAAAAAACTAGAAAGTTTTAAAAATTATTTAAATTTATAAATTTTAAAACTGAAACATTTTAAAAATAATTTGTTTCGATAAATAAACAATAAATAAATAAACATACAAATAAATAAATAAAGAAGAAAAAAATAAACATAAATAGATTTTTCAAAAATAAGCAAAAAAACCTTGCAATTTGTTATAATGTATATCGATTGGTAAGTCTTCATCCATTATTAATCACAAACTTTAACCAAATCCAGCACGGCAATCACCGACAGACGACAGATGAGATGCGGAGACCCCAACAGCCCTAAACAACTGTTCACGTTCACAAACTATTTTACAAAGTTTACATATGGTGCACTGTAATATCGTTCAGCTTTGTCAATGAATAAACATTTTCAGTTTGCACGAAGGTTTATTGGGCTTGAGGGGCTTGAGTAAATTCTTAAAAAAATTTGATAGTAACTAAAAAAAATTTCTCGATTGATGTATATCACAAAATAGTTAAAAAAAAATGTTTGTGTTTATGTATGTATGTATGCATGTATGTATGCTTCTTATGTGTGTACAAACCAGAAACAAAAAGTAGCAATTTAAAGAAATAGCTGCCAAATCATATATGAAAGATGATAGCTCCCTAAGGTCAAATAATTTTTTCTAAACTTTGATTTAATTTTTGTCTTAGCATTTATAAAACCGTATTTTAAAGCTTTTATATAGCCATAGCGTATAAAAGAATATGTGAGCGAATTTAAAGCATATATATTATATAAACTTTTTCAAAAATTTAAAAAATTCTAAATTTGATTTTATTGCGATATCGATGATGATGATTGTGACCTAACTAATTAAAAAACATCAAATAAAATTTATTAAATAGGGGTTATTCGTTGCGAAATCGTTGGAGAAAATGACGTCATGTTAACAGTAGTTATTTTACTGCATGGTAGTTAATCAGCCGGTATAAAAGTTATATTCAATTCCTATCAAATAAATTTGACCAAATATCATACGCAGGCAGAACTAAATAAAAAAATAGATATATATACGTAGTTATAATACATTTATAATGTATTTATAATGTATTTACACATTCAAATTGTACAATTGTGTTATGGTGTAGTCTCAAATTATTTTGAATTCTCTCAGAAAAATTTAAACTTTTTACTATGTACTAGTTACTTTTAATAACAATTTAAAAAAAAATTCAATTTGATTTCATCGCGATATCGACGATGATGAATGTGACCTGACTGATTAAAATGCATTAAAAAAAATTGAAACTAGGATGGAAAATTTGTTATATTAGGATGTTCGTATATAAAGCGAGCAAAATTTTAATTTAAAAGGTCTTATAAATCTACGCATATTGGCTCAGCTTGGCTTGGCTCGGCATGGAATCGGATGTTAAGCAAGGTGTGGTCTCAAACTATTTTGAATTCTCCCAGAAAAAATTGAACTGCGTGCGTACATATATAGCCCTGATTACTGTTGCTTTTATAATGAATTTATATTATATATATATATATATATATATATATATATATATACTAGAATCCATGTATACAAATAATTAATAAGATTATATGTTTATATAAAAAGCAATATAGCAGATTCAACCAGCCAATCAAAAAGTTTCGAAGGCGTACGTTCGATGACGTCAATTTAGTACGGTTTGCATTGTGGTTTAAAACTGTATAATAATGTAGTACATACATTAAATAAGAATAGAATTACTACAGTGTTTTAAGCATATTAAGTCAAGTAAATATTTCACATAGCCTGCTCGTTAAAATCCATGCCATTTCGTAGACCAACAATCCAAGCATGACTAACTTTTGACTCGAACATTATATCCATGGACCCGAACGATAAAAATTCACCCTCCAAATCTCCTCCAGAAGTAAGCTCCTTGTTCGACCGTTAAAAGAGAGCGAAGGCCGTTATATTTATTCTAGTTGTGTGATATAAACCATATAATTAGAATATAAACTTAAATAAAGCTTATATAACTTTATAAATCATACACATTGCATATATGTGCACGTATTGCGTTTTTGAAACATTAATAAGCTGTTATAAAACAATTATAAACATATAAAGCACGTAAAAAAGACGTAAAAGGACTTTTATGTTTTTAGACATATTTTTAGCTTTAGTAGGAAATGTGGATCTGCTTTGTCAAAAATAAAATCAAATAAAGCGCCAGGCCCTGATGAGATAGTTGATGAAGAAATTAAATGTCTTGATGAATTTGGCATTGAAAAAGTGACAGAAATTTTGAATGAGATTTATAATAGCGGCACTATCCATCTATTCGTGCTTTCCAATATGTATAAAAACGAATTTATAACATATATAAATATATAGCATGTATAAGCGTATATACACACATAAGTATGAATATATATATATATATATATATATATATATATTTACATATATATATATATATATACACATGATTGCATATATAAAGGCAAATTTTTTATGCCCGGCTGGTTGGCCATCGTTTTTTTTATAGGCTTTTGGCATGTTTTAGAGGTCAGAATTCAAGTTGTATTAGAAATTAGAACAAATTAAAAATGTCCGAACCGACGACTGATTATAAGAAAAAATATCGAACACTGAAAAAAAGACTTAAATTCTTGATATATGTTAGTAATTTTTTTTTACTTTTCTTTTTTTTCACTTAGTAAAAGTAACTCTTAGACTTAGTAGCCACTTATATGACTTAGAATAGAATAGATAGAGTAGAGCAGATCATGTATAATTTATATTTGATATTTATTATATTACTATTATTATTTATTAAAATTTAAATTATTTATTATATATAATTATTTATAATAAAACAAAGCTTGAATAGTTTTTTTTATTAATTAGACAGGTCAAGACTTAATTAGACAGGTCAAGACTTAAGTTAAAAAAAATCTACTCTTCTACAATTATAATTGAAATTCTAGAATAATAGACTGTTTTAAATTGTATTCTGAAACATGAAGTGTAATAAAATATAAACTTGTAAAGTAAGGTGCAAGCTATTAGGTAAGGTAAGCATTATTGACATTCCTGAATCAGATACACTCTTTTTTGCACTTGACCATAATTACCATATATTTTTATATATTTTTGATTTCTTATTAAATTTTTATTTTCTTGCCAAATCCTGTTCATTCAACTTTACTCAGGCCAATTAATTGCATGTGAATGTATCTAGTTCATTTTATTTATACATTCCAGTTTAATATAGCAGACAGGGCCACTCATGCTCGTTTTATATATTTTTAAAAATTTAATTCAATTATTGAGTGAGATCTATTTCTATGACCTGTTCATTTTGATGTTAAATTTTATATTAGTTTAATTTTTCATAATTATTTTTTGTTAATTGTTAGGAACAAGAATGTTTTGCAGAGGAACTAAAAAAGTCTCAAAGAAAACTTTTAAAACTCAATAGAGAAAAAAGGTTTCATAATTTTTTTGTTTGGTCTTTGAACTTTGGAATTGATAACTTTCATTTAATTCTTTTTTACTTTGAAAGTTTCTTGCTAGATCAGTTGATGCAATATGAACAACCGAATCATGAAACAAGTGATTCCGATGAAACACAATCAAGTGCCAGTGAGCAGGAATCTGCAAAAAAAATTGTCAAAAAGAAAAAGATTTGTTCCAACATTTCTAGCAAACCTTTATTAAATGTGAGTCTGTAAAGTGTTTCTCCCAATTTTAAGCATTGGTTTAGTACAAGATTTTAATGTTTTGTTGAACGTGACATATTTTAATAAAACTTAGTACATCTTATTTCATCTCTGTTTCATTATTTAATTGTTTAAATCAATAAAGAAATTACAATTTTACTCAGGCTATTCCAAAATCTTCATTGAAATCCAAGAAGTTAAATATTTCTAGTTGGTAATTTTGTTGAAACAATTTTTTTAATATTTTCAATAAAGTCTCAATGTAGTTAATGAAACTTTCAATTAACCTACATGAGTGCCTGACGATCTTTGCCATCAATCAATCAATCTTCGTTTTGCGTCCAGAGACCCAGTTTTCCGAGGTAGGACGTTGTTCTCTTTGCCATCAACTTTTTGCGCCAAATTAGACGATCAGTTGTATCCATTTCCTTTAAATTTAGAGCTTTCATGTCTTGCTCGATTGTTTGCGACCAGGACTTCTTTGGACGGCCTTTGGGACGTGTGCCAGGTACTTCAACATCTGCAAGAGAAGTTATGGCACTGTTTCTACTTCGTTTGACATGACCAAACCACCGCAGACGGTGTTGCCGGCATTCGTCCTTTATATCATCTAAACCAGCACGACGCAGGATTTCGGTGGATTTGATGTGGTCCTTCAGACTAATTCGTTCCATCGGAGCATTTTCATGTCGGTTCGTTGAAGTTGTTGTTCCAGTTTGGTTGTCATTGGCCATGTTTCTGCACCATATAACAACACCGGACGTATCACAGATTTATAAAGTCTTGATTGTAATGGTAGTGGGATGTCACGCCGCATCAATATAGAGGCAAGGAGATGCCATTTATTCCAGGCTGCACGTATGCGTGCTCGAACGGCAGCTTCAGCTGTTCCAGTACAATCCAGAACATCCCCTAGATATTGAAACGATGTGACTTTCTCTAACTTAATGGCTTCAAAAACAGTGCTATTTCGAAAACGTAAAAAGTCAAGTCTTGTAAAAACGTACTAAAATAATAAAATTTGTATAATTGTGAAGAATGTTAACTAATTTGTTATTGAATTGCTAGGTAAATGAAGAAGATAAATAAGTTTAGTTTAGTTCTTTCAGATTTTTATTTTCTTCAACTTATAGCATCAGTCATTACGTTGGTACCAGGATCAGGAATTGTACATTTAATGTTCAGCTGCACTGATCAACTGATACTTTGAGAAATTTTACTTGGTGAGATGGTGTAATGGTTAAGGTGCCTGGTATTGCTGATGCATTGACCAGGTTAGAACGTAAAGAGATCCCCGCCATCACATACAAAAGCGTGACTCATTGATTCGTGTTTTTACATACACCACGTTTGTTGTAGCAAAAATTGTATGCCTCATTTGCTTGTCATGGTGCTATATAAACAGTTATTATTATTATCATTACTTAAATTCTATTTGCTTTAATCATTGAATCATTCCAGGTAACAGCATATCTGAAAAACCACATGCCCATGGGAAAGTAGCTACCACGAAGACCACAAACACCCTGCCGACTACCAGCACACCGCAGAAACAAGATGTGAGCTTGATAACAAGAGAAGAGATAGAAAGGCACCTTGAAATGAAGCATTTCAATTCTAAGAACCGTTTTCTCAACATAAATGTTGCCTCTCACAAACCACCTGACGACATCTTCAACAACGACAACTCCAATCAAGAAAGGTGTTTTTGCCTGCATTTTACGTTTGTCTTCACAATTATAGATGCTACCTACATGGTTAATCATTATACTATCATTATTCTATATATTTATAAGTAATATTTTTTTACCTTTTTTAAAATCAATATTAATTTTAATTTCAAGTTCTGAAGCTGCAATGATGATAACATTTCAAAATGAAGACGATTCAAATCTAGTTATTGACATGGCTTGACAGTTTGAATGTTTGCCTTTTTTTAAAAATCTATTTTGTACACATTTTTAATTTTTATTTTTTTCATTAGAATATTTTTATATATTATTATATATTATTATATATTAATATTTTTATATATTATTAGAATATATTAGAATATTTTTCATTAGAATTTCATTAGAATAATTAGAATATATTAAACATAAAAGATTATCACAATGAAGAGATTTTAATGACAAAAATGTTCATAAGATAGGTTTGCAATGTACATCGACAACCAAGTGATCGATATGAGGAGCATATGACTTGATCTGACCGATATATAACACTTCACATTGCCATCTTTTTGGTCTATCATCTAATTTCTCCAGTGTATCTTGGATGATTTTGCAAGTATCATTGGCCCAGCGTATCCAGACTTCCTTCATATTTTTATCTTTTCTGATACCATTATTACTACAATATTTTGATTCCCTTTTAGTTCCAGTTGTTTCAACATCAAAATAAATTCGATCTCTTTCATTGCAATTAGGGTGGTTAGTAATTCTATCGTCTGTGACATTTTCGTGGATGTGAAGAACTCCTCCTTTGTTTCTCTTTAGTGCCTTACATGCCACATTCCATCCATCTCTTGAACTTGGTATCAAACCCAGGTTAACTCGGTCGGCAACATTTGTGGGGCACATCTGCTTGTGACATATATTTTAATTATTTTCATCACCATAATTTTTATATTATAAATGTAGCAAATAAATAGGAGAGTAACACAAGACTGATTCTTTGTATTGCCCGCAAACAATGATTGTAATTTGGGTCTGAATTTCAAAAATAATTTCAATTGTAACGAAAAACATGGAACCAATGACAAACTTCATTGTTGTCTCCCTGCAAAACAGTACATCTATCTTCCACACCATTCAAAGCCAAATTGTTCTTCAGGGCTTCAACAGCATCAGGATTCCATTCACAAGCATACACATGAGATGCTTTACCATGAACCATAAATGGCAACGTAAAATAACCTATGCCTATTTAATTTAATTTTTTATTTGCTACTATATAATTACTCTAATAGTTATTAAATTCACTAACATTGCAAATATTTTTAAGCAAACCTGCATACAAATCTACAATGACTTCATTTCTGCAGTCCATTTGACTTATTCTAAGTTTTTCAGTGATGTTGCCAGGACTGTACATGCACTTTTGCACATCATATTGGTATCTGGTTTAAATAAAATAAAAATTCTAAAGAAAGCTTGACAAAAAATTATTTAATAACTCAAAATTATAAGTTTAGTTTGAATTTAACATTATGAATAATAAAATCTAGTTAAACACTAACATGATTTTATTGTCAATGTGTCTCACTACGCTATTATCCCCTAGCAACATGGTAACCTGTGGTGTTCTGAACTTGTCATTTGATATTGGTCCTTTCTTGGCCAATCTATTACATTTGAATGAACTGACTAGCAATTTCAAGTTTTCTGCATTCAACAAATGAAAAAAGTAAAATGTACACTTTCTAAATTTGTAATTTGATGTGAACATTGAAAGAGTGAAAGAAAGCTTTACATGATGTTTGAGATTAAAAAGTTAAAATGTATATTTCAATTTTTTATTTTAAAATCTTTTATAACTTATTATTATATTTATTATTAATATCTTATAATATTAATTTAATATCTTATTTTCAAAGATTAAAATGTGTATCTACAATTTGTTATTTCAATTCAAACCTGGATCCTCCCATAAAGAGTGGTTCAAACATTGATGAGGAACTAACAGCAAGTCGTCATACTTTTCATAAGATTTTGGAAAATCAGTATTTAACTCATCGAACCATAAATTTTTTATCACAAGGTTTCTTTTACAAATTTTCAATGGTTCACATAAGATCAATTTTGTATTTTCATCAAGTTGTTCATGAGATAAGGCTACCTGGATTCTATTCCAGCTGATTATTTCATTGCCTTCTAACTTTTCAGTAAAAAAATGGCAAAATGCTTCAGTAACTGGAAGGGCCAAAGAGTCTTTTTCAATAATTTTACATTTACGAAATTTGTCATAGAAGGATTCTTTTTGTAGTAATTTTCTTGAAAATGTAGCAATTTATAAATTGATCTTAATTCTTAATAATACATTCAAAGTACATACTGTCATACTTGGAATTGAAAAAAAAAGATTTTAAATACTTTCTGTTTCTGTAAAAAAAGACTAAAAGTATTTCTATCTATTTATTAAATCAAAAAAACCTTAAGTAGGGCAAGGTTTTTATTTTAATTAAAAATCTAAAGATCACTATCTGAAAATTAAAAAAATGACAACTACTTCAGTTTAGAAGCATCGGCCAAGCTGGTTAATATGGTTGCCATCTGTTCAAACAAGTTTTTTTTAATAGATCTCCAAAGTGAAATTGTGCTGGGGAATGAGATTTAAAAGTGAAGAAACAACTAAAAGTGGATTGCAATTAAACAGAGATGTTTAAGTGGAAAAAGTTTCAAGCACGCCTAATCTCTGCCATGCCTTAACTAAACACTTACGTACAATATTTTAAGTAAACGCAATGCGTGGACCAGACGTTCACACGAGTTTAGCAGTTTTCCACATTTACAAGCTTTAATTTGAATAGAGGCCGATCCGGCAGCCAAACGATGGTTAATTATACGGTTCTTTTCAAAAAATAAACAGGTATTAACATGAAGTAACTTTTATTAGTTGAAATAAAAACACACAATTTAATTTTCATCATCAAACAAGTTAGCCATAAATAAATGACAAATAAAACTTTACATAATCGTAAATTCAGTAAATACAAAATTTTGAGAATATTACAACAAAATAATTACTGATCTCCACCCAGCTGTTGACCTCTACCCCAAGAATGCCTTTGCTGGTTGTCATCTGGTCTTCTGGTAGCCGGTGCTACTCCAAAACCTGAAACTCCCCCCCTTCGATTAGGAAAATATTTGTACCTGCAATGAAGAGCATAGCATTTTAATAAAATTACAATATTATGTTGGGACAGCTTACAACTACCAACAACGATAACAACATATTAATCAAAATTAGTTGATAATCTGTAATAAAAATTTGTCCATTGTAAATAATTGTTGTAAGTTTGTACTAACAATATTGAAGGGGTTTGTAGGAATTGGTACCCTCCAAAATCTTGTGGATATTTGAACATGAGAAAGAAATAAAGATGACCAACAAATATGCCCAACAAATCATGCCAACCCCTTATAAAAGAAATCATTTTAAATTGAAGATAAAATAATTTTTATAGATGATAAAATAAACAAAGATAAAAATAAACACTAACAAAATCAAATGACAAAAATTCTTATGGTATATAATATTTGTGTGCCTACCCGTTTCCAACAATCATGTTGAAACCGACGAGAATCCAAGGAAGGTACATAGCCTGTTTAAAGAGATGATATATGAAAGTCAAATGAACTTTTTCACCATCTCAAAAGTGCGGATATATATATATAAGCATGAAAATTTATAAAATTAAAAATAGGTTCAACTTTGAATTGTGTTCCAAACCAGAACTGAACAATCTGTTCCCTATTCAATTGGCACCAAATGTAGAGGACACTGATTATCATAATGTTCATAAGAAGCTGAAACCAACAAGTTGTAAACATTTTATTGATATTGTTTCACTTGAAGATATATTTCATGAATTTTTCACAGTTGTAAAACAAACACTAACCCTTAATTCCGCAATAAGACCAATAATCTTGAATGTTTGATGAGCATAAGAGAGCCAGTTAAGAAAGATAAAGCAATAGGAAATAAGATGATAAAACTTATTAATAAAATTATGAAATGATATGATGAGTGGAACAAAATGGCACAAATCAAATGAAGGATACAACAAGGCATATCCAGTTGAAAATTAACATGTACAAGTAGTCAGCAGGTTTTCCATCATATACACCTGCAGTCAAATAAATTAATTTGTATATATGAGTTTAAAATATTATCAAATCAACAACTTAAAGATTTATTTTTTCAAAATACTATTATTTGTACTCATTGTCTAAAGTACAAAGAACAATTAGAATACTATGCAAATATAAGCAAAAATAACTCAATAACCACCTGTTTCTAGGCGAGTCGAGTAAGAATATAAGAAGTATAAATTTAAAAGGTACATGAAACCGGTCTGTGGTAGAATTGGAAAGTACAATACACTCGTCAGAGGTCTCCAGATCTGTTTTAAATTAATAACAATCATCATCATATCATTGTCATCATAACAGATTGATAAATATTCTGGGTCTCGTCATCACATTAATATCATCCCAACAGAATGGTGATCAACATCACAACAATCAATCAATCAGTGTCACTCTAGTGACCACCAACAAAGCTTCAGCTATTTAATTACCTAGCTTAATTTGATATTTAAAAAAACTTGTTAAACATATACATGTAATATAATCTATAATTTTTACTATTTAAAGAAGAAAAATGGTTATTACAATATAAGTAAACTTTCAATATATTGACAACATTGCTATGAATGTTAATAATCACACATATATATATGCAAGCAAGGTTCGCAATAAAGTTTCTAAACATATAATGATAATTTTACATATAAGGTAGATAAACACATTCACAATACCAGATCCTAAGCTCATGTTACGTTTATTACATTATAAAAGCCCTATAGTCAATAAAGCGACATCTGGCAAAAATAAATTATTTAATCTGATAAATATTTTTTCATTTTTAGTATTTTTCATTAACAGAATAACTACAATGCTTTAGGTTAATTTTTTTAACTAAGATGACAAAACATGTCATGCTAATAAAAACACTTTTATGTATGAATCTTAAAAATAAAATGTGAAAACAATTGTTACTTGGAAGCGATAGACAATGCTATCATAGTCAAGAAACATTGTCAATGGGCTGATGATACCGATTCGACCTATTAATGGAAAAATTACAGAACCAGTAAACCAGTATTTTGATATTTGGGGTATGTTTCGAAACCAGTCTCCAATGTCGTTGGTTGCCATGGTTGTTTCAATTTATAAATCTTGAAATATAAAATTAAATATGTTTTGGTTAAAAGTAATTAATATTGAAAACTGAATTTGCCAATGAAATTCAAAGTTTTGGGTTAGCATGTTTTGCTGCATCTACTACAAAGCAGGTTTTTTAATGTACTTCCATTCATGCCATGAGGCACAGTATCATCATGTTAGATTCATTTGGTTTGGTTTTGGTGACAATACAATAATACAAGCAGAGATAGCTTTACCAACCAGTCAGTAATCAAACACTGGTTACTTATATTTTATTTTTAAACATATTTATTTAATTAAAATATATTTATTTTTGTATTATAAATTTTATGTTTTAATTAATTTATTATTATAAAAAATAATTTATAAATCATAAATATATTTTATATATTATATATATTTATAATTTATATAATATAGCATCATTCATAAGATATAAGTATAACAACGTAAATCTTAAAACTTGAAAAAAATTTGAAATTATAATTTTCAATATAAATTTTTTCTTTGGACATTCTTTTATATTTTAGTCACTTTTTTTTTAGTTTTTACTTTTTAGATTTTTAGAATAGAAATTAAATACACTGACTACAACTAAAGAACTAGGCAGACACTAATTGGACAATCCTAACTTTTAAGAAATTTACAATTTTTGTAATAATTTAGAACATTTGAAAAAATATTGAAGCGAACCTTAAAAGTAAAGCAGACTGTCATGCACCGAAATCAAATCCAAAATTTACACGCCATTAATCGACGGACAAAAGAAAATAACCATGACGTAGCAACAGTTCAGCAGATGTTTTACTCAAAAATTATTATTGTTTATTTTGAATTGCAATTAATTATTTTTTCAAAATAATTTAATAAATTTTAAAAACATTTTTAATAATTAAACTAAAACTAGACAAATGGTGTCGAAATCAAGGTTTAGTTTATCTTTGTACATTTAGTTTAACTTTTAATTTTTTACCAAAATTAACTTTTGTTTCATGCAAGTTTTTCTTATAAAGGTTTAGTGTCACTCGTCCAAATGCCGGCTGGCGTCACCTGGCCAACTTATTTAAAATTGGTTACAGTTTCTTTATTGGCAATGGCCGCAGGAGCGCAATGTGTGCACGTGATATACAATCCGCTCAAGGTTAGGACCTTTGACTTTTATCTAAAAAAAAACATTAAATTTATATAATTTATTAATTATTTTATATTAAGTAATTAAGTTAAAAAAATATTTTTTAAATTTAAATAAATCAATTCATTAATTAATCACTTAATCCTTAATCAGTAACAAAGTAAATCATTAAGATTAATAAATTAACTTAACTAAGTAAATTCAATAAATTCATTATCATAAGAACAGGAATGGATTAAAAAATAGTATAAGTGATGATAAATGGAACATTTTATAATCAATTCATTGTCCTCAATTTTGAATTTTATTTCACGTATGTCTTCAATTTGATTTTGAACTGTTTATTTACCGCTTGCATTAATTTTAATTTAATGATTTTTGGTTTTTAAAATAAAATTTATTGTTACAAATAAAACAATTAAATTCATTGTACAAATTTATTCATGAATATATACACAGGATTTCAACAACACATTAGAGCAAGAACGTTTAAGACTCAAAAATGACACAAAATGAAAATGCAACATAATGAAAATGCAACACCCATATGTTATTTATGGAAAAGACATTGGAATGTTTTTTTCAATAAAACAAATATAGTAACAGCAAGCGACAACCCATATTGTAAAATACAACATTATAAATCAAATAGAATGATGATAAACTCTTTAATGTATTTTAATATTTTTATCTAATTTGTGAACTACTTTTTCAAGAGATTCGCTAAGTGGTGTTATAGAATTGTTTTTACTAATTTACAAATATGAATTGTTTGTATGTTTTGATTAATTTTAGTTAAATTTGGCTGTTTATCTTACAAACTGATTTTTGCCAAAGTTGCAAATTAAAGACATTTTAAAATATAGCTGATATTCACGTGATATACATGTATAAATAAAAATGTTGGCTTTAAACTATTAGTAAAATGCAAGGGTAGGAACATGAAATAGAGACAAAAGTCCTTTGTGAGCAGCCACAGCAGTCATCAAGGGATGGTGTTGATTTCAGATTGATCTGATTTGTATTCATAGTATTCTGTTTTTGATCCCACTATCATGATGTGGTCTTCTTTGTAAGACAATCTGAAATAACATACAAAACATTTGCTAAAGTAAAAAGTGCTTGTACCATTAAACTCCTGTATGTAGAAAAATTTAGATAAAAGTTAATTAGTGTGTGATTATCACAATTTAATTAAATTGGACACACGGTTGTGAAACTATGAACCACGCATCACAGGTATAAAAGTAACGTAATTGAGGCTTGCACACTTTCCTAACTGGATAAATCAGGATAAAATATGATGATGTATGATGAGATGGGATAAAATAATAATCAACCAGTTAAAGTAAAGATGCACTTTAGTAAAACAATTGTAATGATCTCTAAAAACGAACGACAATCCCAATTAATCTTTCCTTTAAACACATTATCAGGAGAACACTTATTATAATGAATGATGCAGCCAATTTATGATAAGGTGTATGTATGCATATGAATTACCCATTCCCCACCAATTAACCGACCTGAGCAATCCTCGCCTGAAATTTGGATTAGGCACACCTGGCAAGGGTTTGAATTTGAAGCAACTGGCAATTTTGAAAGCACCGCTGAAATCATCAGCCGTCTTTTGGTCGTAATAAATGATGTAGTAGGCATTGAGATTGTCATACCTAGTTGTAAAAAGGCATAATAATTATAAACCTCATTTATTTTCCTTAAAGTTCAAACGGTATTTTTACTATTGTTCATAATGTAGCTCTGTCATAACATATAGATGTTATTCTATATCTGTACTTATAATTAAACTTTCGTGTCACAAAGGTTGTACAGTACACTATCCACACCACACGACGCACGTAAACATTATGTCTGCAAACGCAAGCACCGCATCATACGCGTACGATAGTCTTCGAGTTTCGGACAGGCAGCATTCGAACCATGCCATCGCTTAACGATAGCGCGAGAACGAATGAGCTAAACTTGGTAACCATAGGCACTTGATAAATTGAAAGAGTGAGAACAAATATGCATGAAAAGCAAATAAAAAGTGCTGACTCAATCTTTCTTTCAGGCAACAATTTCGGGTCGACAGTGTTGTTCAGAACACAGGTGTCAACAAACTTTTGATCGAGTGGTTTGGACTTTTTGATTAATTCTCGTAGGTATGTTTCATACCGGTGGATGATCATCATGCCGGGTTGGTCCAACTCCGCATTGGAGTCACTGGAAAAAATATTTATAAATAAACAAAAGTTACTTTTTTAACAGTAATAGAATGTTATTCTAATATTACTTAGATACTATATACATAGCCCTGACAAACAAATCAATAAATGAACGATTCATATAAAAAAATCAAATTGGATGAGCTGGTGTAACCAAAAACTAACTGAACTAAATCATTGCTAGTAAATGTCTAATTATAAATCATAGCCTTGCACTGTATTAAAAAACTTTAGTAAGATAATGAGTGCAGACAAGAGGAAACTAAAAAATATTTTGCCCGTTTTCATTTGTGTTAAATCAGCATTGATTATCCTAAACTAGATTTATAATAGGAGGTCCATCTTACTCGTTTGTATTTGGCTCCGCTGCAAACAAAGCAATTGATAAATCATTAGTTTCAGTTTTTTCTCCAGTTGATTTTGGCTTTTCAATGTAAGGAAGTCTAAAAACTCTCGGTGCATCAGGGTAGATCATTTCGTTGTCTTGTATGTCAACTGCTTTCCAACCAAACCACGTCCTAAATAATAATTATACCAACCAATCAAACGATACATCGCAAAAAACCATTGATTCATTAAAAAGCGCATTGATTTACTTTTTACATTTTTATCGTAAAAATTGGTAAAACGTTAACGTTTTGTGCATTTATTTTTGAAAATTAAAACCTGTTGAGGCAGCATGTAGAGAGGTGATCGTTCAGATGATCCATGTAGAAGCTTTTCTTCATGAGGAATCCCAGACCAGGAAGATGATTGCTTCGATACCACAGAGATGTTATTCCATGTCCTTCCCCTAACCAATCACATTGAATTATATATAAAATAATGTTTTAAGTTTACTACATACAATATTTTGACTGAAAAATAAGTAAAAAATAATTATATTTTCAACTCGGTAGGAGATAATAGCAAAAATATGAAACTGACTATAAGGCGTCCAAGCGGAAATGCCAAATAGTGTACTGTCGACGAGAAAGTTGGTTGTCATGCATCTACCAATGAAGGAAAGGAAGTCCAACGAAGGAATGACTTCATCTTCCAGGAAGATCATGTTTTTCTTTGAAACAAAATTATAAAATTATTTCACTAAGAAATGTTTACGTCTGAATACCAGATACATTATTTCGGTTGCACACTGGTCAGTGTTTATGGACTCAGTAGCAGAATGTTAAATTTATGAAAACTAATGATGAAAACAAGAAATTTTATCATTAATTACATAATGAATGCCAATTACCTCGTACGGATGTATCTTCCAGGCTCTGCTGATTGCCTGTATTAAAAAATCTGAAAAATCCATTGTAATAAAAATAGAGTTAAATATTATTTATTATGGAATTTTTTTTATTGTTTGCAATTAATTCTATTACATTAACGGGAATTTTCAACATCGAATTGTCACCAGATTCACATTAGATAACATCAGTTTAAATGCTTGCTTGCAGCTTTGTTAAAACGTTAATCAAATGTTCTAAAAAAAATCAAAATGACATCATCATCGCGTCATTATGCTAGAGCTGCACAATCAAGAGGAATACGAGAAAAGTTTATCAACAACAGTAGCAGCAACAGTAGTAGCAACAGTAGCAACAACAGTGGCAGCATCAACCAACTAGTAACATCATCACCATTCTGATCATGACTAACTCTTGTAGCTATCGTCAAGAGGCACCATGGAATGTGACCGAGCGCCATACACCTCAGATAGGTCAGCGTATAAGCCATTAGATCGACTGTATATCACCTTACAACGGTGAGACGATGATGGTGGTGATAACGATGATGATGGTAATCATGGTCTTCATCCATATAAACATCGTCATAATGATGATGTTGATAATCATAGTGATAACGGTAAGAATTATGATGATTAAGTTCGATTGTATTTTATCTTAAGAGTATTATAAAGGTCATAACAGAGGTGCTGTGGTGGTGATAAGCGAAGTAACCTAAGTGATGGTGGAGGCAGATGAGATAATCATGATGAAGATAAATATAAGGATGGACAGTGATGACGGCAATAATGATGATGACGTTAATGATAAAATAATGGGGATGATGATGATAAGAGAGATGATACAAAAATGTTCGATGCAATTATGAAGACGGCATACTAATACCACTTCGTAAAAACATGAATTTTACATATGGAATTCTACAAACAAACACACACACACAGTCACAAACACACATCACACACAAACACATTATCACTAACACCACCATCATAACACCATCATCATCAGCATCATAACTCACTGTTATCTTTTTTGGATCGATTCCAGGATTGGCGAGGAGTGCCTCTATCTGGAGTTGGAAGGACTTGTAATTGTTCCCTTCAATGTCATGTTACCGTTATTATTGTATGATAACTCATCATGAATGTATTATATGTGTAAAGATGGAACGAATATGTACGTGTGGCCTATGTACAAAAAGCAAATGTCTTTGTACAGGAATATGAGGAGATTAATAGAGGGTGCACTGAGCAAAATTTTGGATCCATAAAAACTGGAGTTAAGAAAATGATGCAGAGATAGAAAAACGAAACTAATAAATTATATTTATCAGAGTGAAACATGGTTTGGCAAAAGTACAGATGAATAATAAGTGAAGGTGAAGATGAAATTAGCGTAGAAATGATCAATAAAATACCTAAAGAGACACATTTGACACACACACACGCATGCACACACACAAACACACACGATACTAACCAGGTATAATGATGATAGGTAACTTGAAAACATCATTGTTGACCATTTCACTCTGTAGCAAATGTGCCGGCTCGATTAACCTCTTCAGGTTTTCATCTTTATAACGATGGAGTTACACGTACGTACGTATGTATGCTTATAATTCGTACAATTATAACAATATAATGTATGCAATAACAACAACAATATGTAACAGTCTTAGTTAAATGTAACGTAAATGTTGAGGATTTTATTTAATCACGTTCAATTATGGATGTGTGAATACAAATTTTAATAATAAACGAGGAGAATGGATGGATGGGAATCTGAAAAACTGACAGCGAACTAAGCAGGATGGTATGGAAAGATGCCACAAACAAACAAACAAACACAACGTCGTCCAAGAGTTACAAAGCATGCAGCATGCAACGTACAACTAACAGCCTGCAACAAACATAACAACAGATACAACATCCAGAAAACAACATGAAATAAACAACAACGAACAACTAACGACATAGAATACACAGTAAAGAACAAACAGCCGGAAACAAGAAACAGCAAAATATAAAACAACAGACAACAGCTGCAACAAAGAGCAGACGCACGTGAACAGAAGTCATCGTCAACAATGGTGGAATATTTCGAGCAGAACTTCTTCTTCAACTCAATTACATCTTTCGGCTGCAAAGTGAGGTTTCCTTGAACTGCGAAGCAAATGACGATGATGATGACGATGACGACAATGATGATGACGATGATGATAGTTATAAAATGATAATGGTGATTATCATGATGATGACAAGTGAGACGATAACAATCCTCGTGATGGCGATGATTAAGGAGATGATGACGATCACAGTTATACTGATGATGAATTATTACAAAGCGACGCTTGCAATTCGAATGCGCAATTGCAAGGAAGGAAGGACAGGCAAATTAATGATGAATGAGTAAATGAATGAATGAATGAATGATCAAACAAAACAGATGAACAAACGAATGAATGAATGAATGATCTAACAAAACGGATGAACAAACGAACGAATGAATGAATGATCAAATAAAACGGATGAACAAACGAATGAATGATCAAACAAAACGGATGAACAAACGAATGAATGAGTATTAAATGAACGAATGAAAAATGGTTGTATGACTTTTCATGGGAATGCACATTCTCAGGTCAATGGGCTTTGGCCAAGACCCCTCTGCTCTGTTTAACTGAATGAAGAATGAATGAAATGAATGAATGAGAGTAAATAAACAAATGATTGACCTTACAAATGAGTAAAAGAACTAATAATTGATGAAATGAATAAATGGATGATTGAAAAATAAAAAACAGAATGTCATTAAGTGTTCGTCGACAAAAATGTACATAAAACAAACATGAAATCAGCAAATGAACAAACCCGCAATCCCCAGCACCACCACCACCAGCAACATCATCATCATCATCACCACTATCACCACCACTACCAGCAACATCAACACAAGCAGCATCGTCATCAAGAGACACCTGCTCAAATGGGGATTTCCCGACAATACCCTTCTGCCCAACAAAGACCCAGACGTCTCTGAATGAGAGCTTGCTGATCATACGACTGCCTAGCTCCTCGAACTGACGTTGGATGTTCACGTTTAAACTGGTAGAAGAAGTGGTAAAGAGTGATGGTGGCTGCTGCTTGCAACATTATCATTGACGGTTGTATAGCGTTAGTACCATTAGTTAGTACTACCATCTTTACAAATGGTAGTAGTTTCAATGAAAAAATGTCGAAGAATTTTGAGAAGATATGCTTCTGCCTACATCAGTTAAATCATCTGTTATATAATCTGCATCATGAAAATATAATGTGATAATATGATGGCAACGATAGCAATGATGACGATGATGATGATGACGATGACGACGATGGTGATAATGATAACAGTAAACAGACGAACTTTGAAGAGGCTTCATCGTTTGAGACAACCACAATGATGTCTCTCTCCTCCAACATTTCCAGGAACAATTCCGCGTTTGTGCTATCTACGTGTCGCAGTCATTTCATCATCATTTTCATCATCGTCATTTTCATCATCATTTTCATCCTCATTATCGTCATCGTTATCGTCGTCACCAGTACCATTATCGTCATTACAACAATAGTTAATGTTATCATCATCATCAATATCATTATCCTCGTCATCATCATCATCATCATCATCATCATCATCATTACAAATATCACACTCATCATAATCATTACAAATATCAAACTCACCATAATCATCGTCATCATTACAAATATCACACTCATCATAATCATTCATTCATCATTAATAAATCAGTCACCAGCGGAGAATGTATCAAAGTTTCCGATCTTGATGACGTCTTGAGTCTTCGGGCTGACCACTGCGATGTTCAGACCTCTGCCAGCGTGATTCAAATTCTTCGCAAATACACTTACAAAATGATGACGAAGATGACAACGATGATGATGATGATGTTGGTAACGATGTCACGACGTCGATGATGATATAATGTTGAAGGATAATAAAGTGTGGACGGTGCAGATGAAGTATGAAGATGATGGTGGCGGTAAGAAAAACGAACAGCGAAAAAAAACAAACTGAAGACGCGAAAATAATAATTGCAAATTTACAACAAGAGATGATTTTTAAGAAAACACACGTCATAATTCTCACAGCTTGTGCATTGGACAGTAATGATTTCAAATACACAAGTTGGAAAACTAGAACATTGCTACCGTTATAATTTTCAAATTTGAGGCAATATTACCATCACTGCCACAGTCATACATACGATCAACGTCCTCTCATCACTTCATCATCATTGTCTTCATTCCCACCATCATTGTCTTCACCACCATCATCACCGCCTTCATCATCATCATCAACTCCACTCCAGACCCCTCCCAACTAACTATCTGCCATTGATGCATAGCTTGCAGACATCAACATTTTCCTTGCCGGTGTACATGTGGAGGGAGATGCTGCCCGGCTCACAGGGTTTGGGCACTCCGCAATTTATGAGACCCTCCCCTTCTGAGACTTTCTGGGGAGACGCTTGCTCTGTCTGCTGCTCGTTCGGAAGCTGGTTCAACTTACCAACTGGAAAGGTATGATAAGTGTCACTGAGTTAAGAATGCTGATGAATTATGGAGAATATCTCTAAAAGAACAAGATGAATAAAAGAATACGAGTTAGCACGTTTCAAACAAATAATGATGACCGATGTAACACGTTGAAACATGAGAACAAGAAGAACCTGGCAGTCTCACGCATCCTTTCACTTCAGCCACTTTCGCAAACTCCGCATCCTTCTCCCTGGCTGTCAGCTGCATCGAGGTTTCATGTACACAAATTTCGTTACAACTATTATTTAATCTGTTCATTTACTACATTACAATGCTTGTGTAATTGATTGAATGGCATTTGTTGAATGAGATCTCAATTCAAGAAAAACAAGAAAACTCGAGTGCAAATATGCATGCATATAGTTGTGTCAACTCTTTTGTATTACACAAAGGTATCAATGGCAGGCAGGGCTGACGTTATTACGCGTGGATCAACACATCACGCACGTGGCGTATAATGGCCTGAGACCTTTTTGCATTTGAAACCGGCTACTGCAACACAAATCCGAACGTTTTTAACAATTATGTCATCTCGTGTACGTGTGTGCGTACGTAAATTATAATTTAAACAACAGCAGTACATAATGCACCTTTTCAATACTGCTGCCCTTCGCCAAACCTCTTTGTCCTAGCGCGACGAAGTTGTCCCTGAACTTTAGATTCTGAATCAACGCACTCCCGTAACTGGCCAGCAATATTCTTGATTCATTCGATAAACTGCTCAAACGAACAATGGCAATGGTAATATGCGTGTTGTTTTAATTATATCTTGAATTCTATTTCTGTATAAACAAATGAAATTGTTAAAAATAATGAAAATTCAATTGACCAATCAACTAAAAAGCCGTTTAAAACGAAACAACAAAAATGAGTAATAATGTCATAATAAAACAACAAAAATGAGTAATAATAGTCATAATATAACAATAAAAATATATAACTGGCAACCACATTAAGCACAAACAACATTAAGACAAACATATAAAGATATCATTTAAAAATTCCTTGTTAAATATTGGTTAAGTGTTGCTTAAGAGAGAATCCATGGTCAAATCCAATCCACGATACCTCCAAACCCCTAGGTTAGCCAAGATTTTATAACATCACAATTCTCACATAAACGTATTTCATTTATCATAATAATATCACCATTAAAACACGCAGTCCTATCTATTATTTCTAACAAAAACTGAATAAACGAATAAACTTAACGTAGCAAAAAGTACAATTTATCATCTATATAATATTAAATTATCAATTTTATGTAGCAGTTGTTATAGTTATAAAAACTACAATTACAGAGTAACACTCTTTTAATTTAATGGAAACACTCTTTTATTGTCACATAATGATGATAATGAAAATGTTATTTAATAATAATATTAATGTAATATAATATAATATTAATATAATATAACATGATGTTTATACTTGAGACCGGCGTCGTCAAACGTGGCAACTAAAACAAGTTGAGTGTTTTGGATCCCCATCTTCAAGTAGTGCTTCAAGAAAACATCTATTACAAAAATGCATCAATTCATTTATTCTTCCATTCATTCATTCATTCATTCATTCCTTCTCACTGCTCTTACAAATCATATGAGTAAATTTATAAACGGTCATTGAAATTAATGAATAATAGGTATGCAACACTCATTAATTTTAAAAATCATATCGATCCTAACAATCTGCATCAGGTCACTGAATAGAAGAAAAATATCATTGTAGAGATATTTTTTTTTACTAAACACCACCATTAAAATCGATGCACTGCAAAAAAGCCACAACGTGATATCGTCGAATCAATTATACATTCAGTGGTGTTTTTTCCTTCAAAACAATAGCCAGATGTTACTGAATAAGTTGTATGTAGTAAAAAATGATGAATTTGTTTGAAGAAAAACAGCATTTGTTGCCTCGCGAGGAGGAAATGTAAAAGTACACGTTGTGTGTATTGTATTTGTATTGAATATTGATCAGTACTATGAATTATGTACTACTGTACACTTGATGAATTTTTTTGAGTAGCCTACTATGTAGTATTATATACTAATTTACTAACGTACAGGTATTGAATACGAAGTACTGTAAAAGTTTATTAAGAACTACCTGATTCATAAGTATCAAAGTATCGTATGTCTTCAACTTCGAGCGTTTTGTCTGAGTCAATGAAAAAGTTAAACGTGAATAAATTATTACTCATCTGTATTTTTTCTAATTATTTATTTGTAAATTCAATTAATCATTCAATGGCTAACTTTAATTTTACATTCAACTCAATCGTTCGCTACCTTGTTTATCGTACCAAAAAACATTTCTACACTCGAATTCACTCGCATAATGACTGAGTGATCTAATATTTATTTATTGCGTTAACACTCCAACAATTTTAATATTATCAATTCTATAAAATTGCATCTGAACGTATTAGAGAATTCATTCACTACATAATTATCTTCCTCCAGCGTATATCAACACTACTAATAGGTTACTACTCCTGCTGCTACTACTACCACCATTACTAGTACTACTACAGCTACAGCAGCTACTAATACTACAACTGCTGCTGCTGATGCTACTACTACTACTGTTACTACTGCTGCTACTACAAGTAATCACGCAATAATAGCATTTAGTAATATCTCCAACAAACGAAACTAGAGCAGGAAACCAGATTAAAGAGGATAAAAATGCGCCAAAACTGATAAGCAGATGCTTGAACATTTTTAGATTACAATAACCAATGCAATAGTAATGACAAAAAATATATTTTAGTAGTAGTAGTAGTAGTAGTAGTAGTAGCAGTAGTAGTAGTAGTAGTGGTGGTGGTGGTGGTGGTAGTAGTAGAAGTAGTTAGTAGTGATAGTCGTAGTTGTTAGTAGTAGTAGTAGTAGCAGAAGTAGTAGTGGTAGTAATAGAAGTTAGTAGTGGTAGTTGTAGTAGTAGCAGCAGTAGTAGTAGTAAGGAATAGTGCTATTAGTTACAACGGTAGTGGAATTGAGAGTAAGCAGCAGTAGAATTAGCAATAGCAGTAGTTGTAATATTATCACCATCATTATTATTATTATTATTACTACTACTAATACTACTTAAATTATCAATGACATTATTATCATCATTATCAAACATAACGATAACATAAAATTAATTTCAGCAGACGACGATGATGATGACGATGACGACAATGATGATGAGATGACCAACCAACCATTTATGACCACCATGTTGATTCCTCTCTTGGCATTATCCTGCTCAGCATTTATCAAACTGTCCGGTTAAATGTTTATTTAATAACTTCAATCGAAAAAACCCATGAATAAATTATTAAATATTAATATTAAATAATGAACCAATAAAAAATTAATTAATAAGAATCAACATACAATGAATCAAAAATCTTGACAAAAGTGTGAAAACTAAGGCCAGGATAAAAAAATCTAAAGATGATAATATTAATTATGACGATAAATGTGTTGGTAAAAATATATCACGAAAGAAAGTCTATATCACCCAATAACAATTGTGATGATTATGATGATGATGATGCAACAGATGATAACAACGATGATGACGAATGATAAAGATTAGATTATAATTTTAACAGGTAATAGGATATGAAAGGTATTAGTACTAGCAGCAAGAAAATCTATAGACAATAAAAACTGCAATGTAAATGCAACAGATTATAATTATGATAAAGACCATAGATGCGGTTGAAAACGAAAGGCGATGAAGATGACGATGATGTTAAAATAGTAATTATAACGATCAAAATGATGATGACGACGATGATGATAGACTAGAAATACTAGACTGACTATTCTCCATTGAAGCAGATGTTTGGCTTGCTATCCTTACCTTCACCAGATCTTATATGGTAGGAGATGGAGTCATCTGTATTGATGTCCATATTGCATTGTTATGTTAACATAACATAACATAACATAACATAACATAACATCTACAACAAATAGCAGTAACAATGCTTTATCGATTCTTAATAGCAGACTTTAAATTATTATTATTTTTATTATTATTATTAATATTATTATTATAGACACTCCTTAGCAGTTCTCGAAGGATAATTACTATACTTAATATAGTATATATATAATAATTATAATATAGCGAGACAAAAACATATCTTTATAAATAATAATAATAACAATAACAACAACAATAATAATAATAATAATATAGAGAAAATAACATAATAAGAAGAAGAATAATGAAGTAATAATAACGATAAATCAAGTGTGGCAAAAATGAATCAATGAATTTATTTCAAATGTTTTCATCAATGAAAACAGACAGCACACGTGTTGTGTTGTCGAGTTAGGTGGTTACAAACTGAGACAAATGATTGATCATTAATTGATTAATTAATTAATCAATTTATTAATTAATTAATATTCCTTCTTTTTAATTTTGCACTACCTTTGCACTTGTCCGCATAAGGATCGCAGTTTTTTCTCTCTTTAGTTTTCTTCTCATCAGTCTTCAGCATTTTCAAAACTTTTATTGAAAATTTAAATTTGAATGAATAATTTGAATATCAAAAATTGAATGAATATATATATATATATATATATATATATATATATATATGAAAAATGTAAAACATGAATATCTTAGTGTAAAACATTGTTAAATAAAAATAAAAAATAAAACACACACACACACACACACACACACACACATATATATATATATATATATACTTTTCATGTATCATTCAAATGAAAACTTTATTTTCAATAATTAAATACATTAGCGCAAGCCAACTATTCATAATAAAAAATATATTAAAACCTCCTCAGACAAAACGTAAAACAAAGTTAAAAAAATTTCAATGTTTTTAAACCTACCTGAGTGTTTTGGTTCACTTTTGTTCAGTTCTGAAAGTAAAAATATAATTAACAATTTTTTTAGTTAATTTTTTTTTTTTACGATTTTTAAGGGGCTTGATAAATTTGTTGTATTCCTGAGTTATATTGTATTGTGATTCATTGTTGTGGATTCAATTTGCTGAATTTTGTGATAAAAACTTATAATATAAGTTAATATAGATAGATTATAATTTAATATGCTAGGAATATGAATGATATGGTGTTTAATGCTTCTATGTAAAATATATTATACTGTATTATTAAATGAATGATAAAATATTGATTGAGATGAATTTGAAATTAAAATGTTTAATAATTAACATAAAAACAAAAGAAACCAATAAAATTAAAACATACTGCTTCCTAATTTGTTTATTATTATCAATGCAAGAATGAGAATCACCACCCATACCAGAAACTTTCTAAAACCTGAAAATGTTCATCCAGAATGAATTAAAAAATCAAAATAATCTGCTAGCACCGTAATTCATTCTTATTTCAAGTTATGAAACAATTAAATAATAAAGAAGTTATACTAGAGAACAAATAGTAAAGTAAAGTAAAATTTTCCAAAAGAAATTAATTTAGAAATCTAAATAAAACACTAACTTCCAAAATAGTAAATAGTTTTTCTTTTTATCTTTTGCATTTTTTCTATGTGTGTTGTGTGAATTAAATTAAATTTGATTAACTGAAATTAACTCATGGATCAATTGACAATGTTAACTGGATTGTTACAAAATGCAATTAATTATTTATGTTATTATGGATTATGATTATGTATAATATATGAATTATTTAAACTTTAATTGATTTAATAATTAAATCTAATTTAATTATATTACTTTTTTTAATGTTTATTTTATGCTAACAAACAAGAAGCAAATGAAAATTTACCAAATTCAAATAAGAAAAAATTCAGCTTTTTTAATACAAAAAGATGAATCAACAATACAATGTGGAGTGAATGATTGAATGAGAAAAAAAGTACCGGCTTTCAATTCTTTTATTTTATTTAATTAATTTATTAATAATTACTTAAAATTAAATTATTAACTTCTTTTTAACAAAAAAATCATCACGATAATAAATAAAGTACAATAAACATAATTCAAGTATCATAATCAAAACTGATCGTTAGTTTTATAAGCAATTATTTTTAAATTTAATTGATTAAATTCATTGATTTTAAAAATCATTTGTTTACTATGTTTTAACATGACCCAATCAAAACTACAACGGATTAATCCACTTTTAAACATTTCAGTATACACCAACAAAGTAAAGGTAGAGCAGGTAAAAAGGCAGAAAAAGTTATTCTATATATATATATATATATATATATATATATATATATATATATATATACATACATACATTATTCTGTATAAATTATTCCAAATATATAGATTATCAAATATTAACGCCTATTTAATAAATATATATGAATGTGTGTGAGTGTGAGGTATATATATATATATATATATTTATATAAATGAATAAATGAATATACATATATATTATATATTGGTAATAGACCATAATTTTTACAATATTCTATAAATTCTACCGAATGTTAACGCCAAACATTCGGTAGAATTTATAGAATATTGTAAAAATATATTATATACTATATATGAATTCATGAACTGAAATTCATGAATTCATATGTATATTTATATTCCTTACCGAGCTGAAATTCGTCGTACGAAAAATTGAGTATCTCAATCATGTATATATAATATATCCATGATCTCAATAGCAAATTGGGCAACGTATGCAATGTTGTGATACTTTTAAACATTTTCATATTACATAGCTTCGGCCTCTTTAATGTATATGCATATATTTTAACATCATTAAAATAGTTGTTTTTACCAATTATATTATTCTATGACAGCCACCCAAGAAATTCCATGCTATTTCAAAAAAATTTCAAAACCATTTAATGACACGTGTTGTAAGAACGTAATGAGGGTACATGTTGCTATGCTGCTTGTGATGATTCTATTTTGCAAGAATCTTCCATTTGTTATGAACTTTCGTTGATAACATACTTCAAGATGTTTTACATGCTTCAGTTTCACGATTACAAGTTAAAATGCCTTCAACCTAATGCCAACAAGTTGTAAGCATGAACTTTGGTTCAAGTTCATTACTCCTACATTTTTAATTTTCTTTAAGTAAATATTCTGATATCTTTTTGATCAAAATTTTGTAAAAGCAAGAGGGCAGCTAAGTTTTTACTAAAAGCTTAACTTCTCTGAAAACTGCTACAATAATATTTTGAGTTGCTCTATTCTGTAGAAAAAAGTATCTACAAGTCATCGGAATATACAGTCAATAATTGCTAATTTTTCGCATACATATAAAACACACCAGGACTAAAACAAGCATTTCTATTACACCAGTAGGCATATATAATAAAATATGTGCAAGCAGCCGGTCAGCGTGTTCGACATCGAATTCAGTTATGGCAACCGTCCTATATTCACCCATATTATTAAATCATTTAAAAATATAACAAACAAACAAACATCCTGTGGCAAACTATAGAAATTCAGTTATTCATAAATTTAAAATAAAAACATGAGAAAAAACATTAAAAATATGTCATATTTTAAGTTTAAACAATGGTGTCGCTGTCAATGTTAGCGGGCTTAACTTTGTAGCCGCCCGCAAAGTCGCTGTATTGCGGCTGGCTGCTGTATTGTGGCTGGCTGCTGTAAGATGGACCTGGTTCGTACTGCATCGGTCTCGACTGGTAGAAGGAATCATCTTTCAGTGGCACTTTTTGTTCGCTGTCCAAAAACCCGTCCGGATTGTCACTGATTGTATGAAAAGAACAAATTTAATTGAACCACGCAAACTAGAGCAGAATTTAAATACTCGAATTAAATTAATAGTAAAACTTGGAACCAACTTGTTATCCGTGTTGAACAATCCCATTTGTCTGGCGGCTTCTTCAGCTTGCAAGCGTCTCATCTCTTCTTCAATTTCACTTTCTAGCAATCATATTATATTACTATGTAATTCTCACAAATTTAAAACATCGCCTCGTCAGCTTTTAAACAACTGAACGTCGCTTTTGAACTTCGTTATAATTATAAGATTGATTGTATTTTATCGTATTAATATTGTATTAATTGTTGTATTTATTGTATTAGTTCAGAAATTGTGAAAAAGTTATTCCAACCGTTTTTATACTTTTTAATATTATTATAAGTAAATGAAACCTTTTTCTTCCCACTTTCTGTCAGTATATTTCTTAAGGAAGAACATACAGATGACAAGAACAATAATGAGGAACAACGAAATCCAGATCCCATAGAACCATCCAGACACTTTCAAGTCAAATAAGCCGGGCGCTAATATCATATTTGAAAATAATAATTTTATTATACTAACTTCGGATAATAGTTATGAAAAGATGTAAAAAGAGATAATGAAGTTTTATTATTATATCCAAAAAGTGCGCAACATCAAAAGCGTCCAACAAACTACCAACCAACACCAGGCGTGAGAAACTCCTGCCAAACCGATGGTGCTTCAAACCCATCTCCATTTTTAGCAACTACCCTGACCTGGTACGTAGTACCCGGGTCCAAACTAACAAGAGCCATGTGGTTCACCATGTACTCATCTGGCGATCTGAGCCAATCATAATGATCTGATAATGGCGATCAATAACGGTGGTGATGGCGTCAAAAAATTGTAACCGGTGGAAAAAATGAAATAAGTAAAATAAATAATTTGATTTAAAATGTTATAAATGATAAAAATTACTAATAACTTTTAAATAACATGCACCAAAAGCTTTAGATATATTTATAAAAAGATCAGGCAACCTCTCGGCTTGTACTGGACGTAGAATACACTGCCCGGTATGCCAGTTCGTGAAGGGGTCCAAGATATGTTGGCGAAGGTCTCGTTCATCTCAAAAATCGTAAATGTAGGAGCGTTTGGGTCTTTTAAAAAGAAAGAATTAAACAGTAAAAAATACACCGGCCGTTCAATGAAGCACATTTAAAAACGATTAATATACATTAGAGACTAAAGCACAATGAAAAAAATAAATAATACAGAACAATTATAAAATCACAAAGGCCATGAGCAGTATAAACATCAAGCCGGCCTTACATCCGGACTCCGAAGTAACAGAGTCCACAAAGATGGATTCTCCCTTGCCGGCCAGTGTTGAGGCTGCCACAAAAATCCTGTAGGTCGTGTTCGGATTCAATCCGGTAGCTCTGGCGTCGGTTCTGTCGGGAGCTATGTAGGAGCTGTAGTACTGCAGTCGGCCCATGTTCATTCCGGTAACTAAATGGGGGCGAAGTAAACGAATCAATCCATCAATAAATCAATCAATCTATAAATCAATCAATCAATCAATCAATCATTCATTCATTCATTCATTCATTTATTCATTCATTCAATCAATCATTCAGCCAATCAATCAATCAATTAAAAAAACAAATTAATTTGATTTTTCAGAAAAACAAAAACAGAGATTTCAAATTTGTAAAGGATTGAAAATATGTTGCTATATTTCTTGTTTCACATAAAATGTTTTTCAAGTCTCTAAATTTCAATTTATAAAATCATGCAGTTATAATTAATTAATTTTGAATGAAAAAAACAGACTGGCTTGATAGGTAATGTTGTATCCAATTAGATCGCCATTTGTCTCTCTGGGCGGTGACCAGGAAATGACGAAGTGAGTGGCTCCCTGGACCAATATTGAGAGAGTTTCGGGAGGGCCGGGTACTGCAAGCGGTTGGTATTATCATTATTGCTGTTTTCATCATTACTAAATCTACAACTTCTGATTATTATCATCGTAATTTGATTATTATTATGCATATAATTAATCGTAATAAGGTTATTTAAACACTAAAGTCAAAAAAGTGACGATCTCACATCCCACTGGAGTTGTGAATTGGATCTTGGCGCTGGCGGGGCCGGCAAAATATTTATTCAGAACTCTCACAACAACCACCACATCCGTGTTCGGAGGCAATCGAGTCAGTTGAAAATTTGCGGTCCTGTTGTCGGCCGGAGGTGGCGAGGCCTGCCTCTTCATTATTCTCTTGCGTGGGTAGAAAACTGCCTCTTTCATGATGAAGTCTTGAAAGCGTACGTTGTATGGGTAATCAGTGGCTGCCGCGTACTCCACCTGGTAATAAAATGCACGTGTGGTTATTAAATTGAATGATGTTCAACTTATATATAAAATACGGTGTATACAAAAAGACCACAGATAAAAGAAAACATAAAACTGACCCGATAGCCCCTAAAAAATCCGACAATGCTGCTGGGAGATGTGTCAACATGAGTCCAAGTCAGATTGACGGTCGTTGAGGTGAGAGTTTCATCCAGCACCTTCACATCGGTGGGTGTTACTTTGGGCACTTTTAAATATGTTGTTGCTTGTTAATATTTGTTGGGGTTGTTTGAAGTTTATATCTGCTTGTTGGCGGTTTGTTGTTAGTTGTTAATATTTGGTGATGTGTAGTACATTTATTTGTAAGAGGAACTGTTCAAAAATTAAAACGTTGCTAATAAAATATAAAATTGTTATTTCAGTAAAAGTGATATTAAAAAATGGAAGAACTAACAATTTTCTCCAGAGTAGCCGACATACCAAACCAAATTACCCAGACCATCTCCTTTGGCGTTGTTGGCCTTCACTGACACCATGAATTTTTGATACGGCTCATACCTGTCCTTGACAATGTAGTGCCAGGCATCTTGGGTGCCAACCACCTCGGAGTTCATCTTCGGAACGGGCACATCCGCTAAGTACCAACTTACTATGTACTTGAAATCTGGTCCGTTCTGTTCTATTTTTGGCATCGGCTGTTAGTTAATATTACGCGTTTGTTAATGTGTTTCTGCTCAAGTAACGATGCCCCATTTGATGTAATTGTAAAAAAGAGGGGAGAGCAAAAAATGTATATATTTCATTTTAATTTGATTATTGAAATTTGTTTTAGTTGTGAAACAATCATCCAATTTCTGTAATCTACACAGTACTATTTCATGTTGTTCGACCGCTTTTTTTGACATTTTGACATGTGTTCAAGTCCAAAATAATGCAAAATAAGATAGGTTGGGTGTAGTGTAGAGAGATATCTGAGCATTCGAAAGAGATCACGGCTGGAAAAGATCAGGTGCTTACCAGTGATGTCAGGAAGAACTTGGGATCATTCATTAGAATAAGCAATTCCTTTAGTAGTCCGGAGTAACAAAAAACGAGGTGATTTATTTGGAAGCATCATTGTTTTCAGTAATGTTATTATAATGAACATCACAAATATCAAAGTAATTAAAAAAAGTCTAAATTAAATAAAAACTTACAGTCCAGAAAATGACGAGATTTCCAGGTTCGTCTCCCTCCCCAATGACATTTTCAGGGTTGTGAGATGGGTTGCCGGGCTGTGTCATGCAAATGTTGTACGACTGCAAACTCGGTAAACTGGTACCTAAGTTATCAAAACAAATATCTTTTTTAAAAATTTCAAAATAAAAAATTATTGTCTGTCTATAGGTTTGAGTTTAAATTGAAAACTTTCAGAATATCATACTTTTTATAAAAAAAAGTGAAATCGTCTTAACATAATCCACGAATTTATTACCGATCTTGTTGCGAGCAAGAACTCTGAAGCTGTAGTTGCCCCAAGGCGACATGGTGACGACGATTCGACGTTGATTTTGTGAGAGATTCGTTGCAATGTCGTACCATAAGTCCTTCTGAAAAGATGTGTTGTACTGGACGATGAAGTTGAGGATTGGGGCAAAGTTCTCCTTCCCTGGAGACCACCAAATTTCTGCTTGGTTGTTCTGAGAGAAACATCTTACCTGCACGTCGGTCGGTGGTTCGGGCGGGGCTGAAAATTTATGGATTAAATAAAAAATTATTAAATAAAAAATAAAAAATTAAAGGTCATTTCATTATATATTTTTTTCTTTTTTAATGCGTTTAGCAAAGTAAAATGATCTAAAATGATCATTTTGAAACAAAAATTAAAACAAACATTGCATGACATAAATATTGTAAGGCATTTATTCGGATAAGCAATAAAAAAGCATACAAAATTTAAAGACAGACAAAATATCTGATTTAAGCAGAAATAGCATTTTTTACTGATTTTGAGTTTTGTTGTATTGTTTTGTGGTTTCAGTAATGTCATGAAAAACAATTAAAAGTTTTTTTTCTATTATATCAATGTGTCTGACAATTGCCGATTACGCAGTAACTATCACAGCCACAAAAATTAGTAAATAAATGGAATGCAAACAAATAACAAACCCTCTAATCAACTTCCTAACCAACCATTTACTCATTTATTCATTCACTCGTTCAACCAATCAAGCCAACAAACAATCAATAAAATAAGTAACAATCACCTTGAACGATTAAGTTTGCACTTTCTTCAGCGGAATCAATTCCATTGCTGGCAGAGCAGGTGTACTTCCCAGTGTCAAGATAGATGGTCGAAGAGATGGTCAACGAGTTATCCATCAAGTTCTGGAACATTCTCATCGATTTGACGTAATCGATGAGATTGCCGTCTTTCAACCAATCAATTTTGAGGTTGTCGATTTCTTCAGGGTCTGTGGTGGCGGTGCATGAGAATTTGACTTCTTTCTTGTAGTACATCATCATGCTCAATGGAGGACTCACTATTCTCGTTCGACCTTCCATATTTATTTATCATTTTGGTTGTTATATAGTTTAAACAAACTTTCTGCAAAAAAATTTGTATCAAGATAGAAATTTTTTGTTAAACATATAAAAATGTTTTTCTACAATTGTGAATAACTCAAAAATTCGAAAGTATAGAAGCTGTCCAGTAAATGCAATATAATACAAAAAATGCGATCACTGACGTCTGACAATGAGGAAACCAGTTGCTTCATCAACGCCCAACTTGTTGAAAGCTCTGCACGTGTAAGCACCTGCGTCGACCAATGATAAATCCTGCAACGTCGTTATTTATTATTTTAAAAATTGCTTCTTCACGTTTCTCAATTTATATGATCACACTAAAAATAGCTACGAATAAGCAAACACAATACGCATTTCATTACAAGCGAATTATTACTTTAAGGTTTACGGTTGCTGTTTTTACTTTAAAGTTAAAATTTTAAAGCAGACACAATTGATCCTCGAACCAACCGTTATTTTGAGATGACCATTAGGTTGGACGGAAAACCTACCACCGGTCAACTGTTCCCCTGATTTGGTCCAGACCACTTGTGGCTTCGGAGCCCCTTTCACTGTGCACGTCAAAGTAATTGACTGGCCCTCTGCTGCTTTCCGATCCAGTTCTGGCTTCTCCACTATTATCGGTGGCTCAGCTAAATGATGAACGGTTCCGTGGTTGATAAAAAAATCCTTATTGACATTATTAGCGTCACTAACAACAGATCTACTAATAAAAGTGTGGATATCTTAATATTGTTATCAGGTAATAGCACTGTTAGAACTTGTACTAGAAAAAAATATTGAAACTGACTAAGAACATTGAGATAGGTGTTAATGAAGTTGTAGCCGTGCTTGTTGGAGATATTGCACTGGATGACCAGAGCATCTTTTATGGTGACGTTCACGAAGACGATCTCATTGCGTTTTATTGTGTACTTCTGATTTGGCGGTTTCGTCAGGTCTGCAGACGTTTTAGTTGTTTCAGTTTATTTAATGTTTTAATAACAACGCAATTATGCGAACGTAATCTGATAAGAATAAAATGCTGTTATGTACAGCATGTTATTCTGGACTTCATTAATTAATTAAATGACCCGCTAAACGCAACAAAATTTTGTTTTTATAAGTGCAAAAGCAGCAAAACTACATATAGGCAGCGCATGGATGTGGTTTCATAGTTGGAGGCTACCATCGAAATATGTTATTTTGCTAGAATTTAAAACAGAAAAAAAAATTCAAATTTGAATTTGTTAAAATGTCACAAAAGTCATCAAATATCGTGCGCACTTGTAACTGGTACGCCGTTGAAGTACCATAAGACGTCAGGTTCAGGGATGCCCTCTCCTGAACATCTGAAAACAGCCGAATCACCTTCACTAACGTCTTGGGACACCGGTTTCTCAACCCATTCTGGTGCGGCTACAAATATTTCAATTAAAGGATTGTAAAAATTACAAAAAGACTATCCAATGAATTAATGTACGGCAAAAATTTGATAGCACGCTTATAACAAGTTTTAATTTTTAATTTAAGTAACAAAAACAGCAGATAAATACTCTCAGTTATGTTAGTTATTATCCATAGGAACATAAACTCACATTGTACATTGACCGTGAACGACCTCCTGACAGGGGTGAGGCCACCGTCATTGATACCTTCGCATTCGTATGCACCTTCATCATCGTACTGAATGTTTATAATGTTCAACTCTTGGCCAAAACTTGTCCTCGTTGTGTTCACTGGCATGGGTTTGTCGGCCGGTTTCACTCGATACCAATTGACTCGAGGTGTTGGGCTGAGTTGGATAGTTTAAACAATTGTGTCATTCAATCTTATCTAACCAATAAGATGTGTTACAACCATTCTCATAGTTTTTACAATCAAGAGAAGTTCATGAAGAACATCTGTCGATCGCCAAGCTTTACATTTTTTCAGCAATTTTCGTGTCCTACTTGGTCATCAAAACAAGCAATATCACTCAACCAATAAGCCAATAAGCTAACAATATTATTTATTTGAAACGGTACAAATGATGCTTTTCAAAATGTTTGCCTAACTAACTTTCCATAGAAAATGCACTTCATAGTGAGAGTTTCTCCTCTGAGTGCAAACTGTTGTGTTGGTGACTGCCATGCTATGGAGGGGGCAGTAGTGATTGATTGTCCTGCAGGGAACAAAAAATTGTTTTAATCGACTATTAATTCATCACGAGTTAGTTATTGTATTGGTCATCATATTGGTTAGGTCAGTCACAATATGACATGGCGACCTCGACATTTTAAAATCTTTTTTGACTCTTTTGGGCTCAGCAGTTTATTTGAATGAATGAGTATCTGGGTCCGGAAGATATAAAAAATATAAGTTCGCCATTTTTTCTTTCATCACGATGCTCATACATTTAGACAATAAACGAATAAACAATAAATTCCAACATCAAATTCATCATTATTTAATCAACCACTCGATGATAGTCAACCAGCAAACGTCAATCAATCAATCAATCAACCAACCAATCAATCAATCAATCAATCAATCAACCAAACAATCAATCAATCAATCAATCAATCGATTGATCGAACTGAATGACCGTCCGATCGACCGACCAGCCAAACGATCGATAAATCGACCGATCAGTTAACGAATCAATCAATCAATCAACCAATCAATTACTCAATCAACCAACCAATCAACACTAACCTTCTCTAATTGGTTCAATTTTGTACGGGTAGCCCTTCTGAAAAGTTCTCATGATTTCGTTGTTAGCTACACAGTAATACACAGCACCAGCTTTGTAATCACTTGCCTCTACGTTGGCTATTATTAAATTTCCTGATGGAATGTTAATGATGAGTTTTTTTTGATAAGTTAGAAAATATGTTTATAATAAAAATTTCACGAGGTTTTCAACAACGTAAGTGTTCTAAAATCGGGGATCATTCGTCTAAAAAATGAGATTACCTATTCATCTTACCTGGATTATCATATCTATGAAATCTTATCTCTCTGCAGGCTTCATTGGAGTACAACATGAGAAAAATATATATATTCAATGACATCTTTATATAATGACTTAACTAAATACTTCTTCAATGAAATTATCATACGACAAAATAAAATTCCATCAATCAATTATTTCATTTTTTATCCTTGATTCAGTTGAATTCTTTTCTAAATAAGCTGAAAATATTCAATAAAACTCTTGAAGAAACCCATTGAATGCCAACCAATTGGATCAATAGAAACCCTATTGTTCATCTCCAATGGCGTGAAATCGGAGGTGGAAGCAACAATCCAGTAGACCTCAGGGTTGGGGTAGCTGCGAGGAGGTACGCAAGACAACTTCAAACTCTCGCCTAATTTTGGCGTCAGTGTTTTAATTGGATTGTTCGGAAATGGATCCAACACTGAAATAATTTTCGTTTAAAAAATAATATTTGTTTGCCCTAAATTGGTTTCCATTTGAAATTATATCTATATAGCAGCGTTTGTGTAAAAAATTAAACGATTATAATTTGTTTATATTTCTTTCAAGGTAATTGATTTCTAAAATAAGAAACTTTTTGATTGTATCTATCTGATAAATTCTATCCTTTATGTCGTAATATGGCATATCGGCATTTTTTTGATAAATGAAAAATTGTGAATCAAATGTATTGTATTTACTTGCTTTTCTGACGTTGATTTTGATAGAGACTGCAGTACCTGCCTGGTTCTTGGCCTGGCACTGATAGATGGCCTCGTCAAGAGGTTCGGGCTCGGCAAAGATGAGGGTGCCTACTCCAGGTTGAATGGCTATCCTCCCGTCCATACCACTTGGGTCAAAAACCCTTTCATTCCAAATCCACGAATAACTGATGGATTGTCGTTTTAATGTAATTATTGCTTAAAGATAATCACACAATCACTTGTATTAACTTATTGCAACATTCTTGGTGTACACACATTACAATTAATTTCATGTATTTTCATCTTTTAATTACAATAAGTGTTACTGTTAAGCGATAATAAGAATACAAACGTGGGTGCTGGCTGACCGCTGGCAGCACATGGCAGTTTAAAACTTTCGCCCACCCTGAATGCAATTGTTTTCTCATTAGCTTTTGTTGAAAATTCAGTTGGTTCTAACGTTATAAGCGGTGGAATTATAACTGCAAATTTTTTTATTTAAAAAATTTTATTTTAAACAACAAATTTTAATAATGTTTCAAAGTAATTTTACTGATCAAATGAAAAAAAAAACGTTACAGAAAATACTTCCAAATAAAATTTAAATCAGTATTGAGAAAATTGATTTCAAGATTACATCAAGAACAAAAATCAAATGCAAATGATCTTAAATATTTCCAAAAATTTTGACCTTTTCTGCCACCAGACGTTGGAAAGTCCCAGTCATCTCTGTTGAATGTTGTGTCATTTTGTGATGAGACAGTAGTTATGAATAAAAGAGTTACTGCTAGAACTCCATACATCCCATGCTTTATTGTTTTAGTTGTTGTTGGCATTTAAGAAGCTATTCCAGGTTTGGATTAACATTTAATTCAAAAATTAAATAAATTTAAATTAAACAAGAAAAAATTGATCTTAACCTGAGGGTTTTTATAATTACTACAAAGCTTGCTTAACTTTTAATACTTTATTAATGATTAAACATTAAAAGTAAATTATTACACTAATTGACAAAAGTCTTGCTCAAATAAATATGATATATATATTTTATAAATTATATATAAGTATATATTATAATTATATTATTAATTGCAGCATCTTAAATCTGCGACAAGTAAAAGTAACATTTAACCCAACATAACAAGAATTGATTTCAACATTATTAAAAATGAGATTGCTCCATTTTTCAAGTCAGTAATAGATAAAAAATTAAATAAAATAATAAAAATAAAAAAACAATAATCAAACAAGTATACTATATTATATAATTATAATATATAAGAAAGATCAAGTATATAACTATATACTTACTTTTTTGTGTATTCAGGTAATGTAATGAATAAGCGTGATGTATTTAATAATTTGGTACAAAAAATATCAGTTTTGAAAAGTAAAATAAATTATTTTCATGATCACATCATGAATTTAATGCATTTAATACGTCACGCGGGTTTATTATATTATAAATAATGCTAAATTAAAAATACACACAACAAAATAAATTAGATGGTACAGGTGTTTTCAAAATATATTCTCACCTGTATAAACTTTCAAAGAGCATTAATACGACCGATGATAAGGGGTATGCGATGCGTCTATGTTCTTATCTTATAAAATTCATCATTTTCTAAACTAAAAACATTTTCCTTAAAATTAACTTTTTTTCTATCTTATTCTTTCTCCATATTGACTTTTTATCATTTTAATATTAAAGTTTCATGATTCACGTCTATTATATATATATATATATATATATATATATATATGTAACATTTAAATTTATTTGTATATACAACACATGCTTTAGTTAATATATTTGGTATCTGTAAAATCTGTGAAATTATATGATCCTAATTGTATCCAAATGGTGATATGCAATAAACGGTTAGTCATTAGTCGCGGTGTGTGGTCAAGTTGATCAGATGGTTCGAAATTTTAACGCAAAGACAATAATTTTCTCGGTTTGGTTGTTTTATTTATTGGTTTGGAGAGCTCGGCGCGTATACGTTAACTTATAATAGTTACAAAAGTCTTCAAAATTATTGCAAAATCTATAAAATATTTAAACACGTTGAATTTTAAGCACAAGTTCTAGTTGAAATTGTTCACAATTTTGTCGACTTCTTTGAATTGTGGTGTCAGGCCACCTGTCGTTATTGTATATCAAACACTAATCAAATCTTAGATTTATGCTCAGACCGAGAGTGTTTAGTCACATAAATACGTAGACTCCATGGATATAAGTAGACTCAAATATTTGAAAGTGTGGTTAATGTACTCAAGCAAAGATATTAATAGTGACCAGGTGGCAAAAAAGCAATTTTGTTGGCGTAAAATATTTTAATCCAATCCAATCTAATTCTCTTATTAAGTACAGGATAATTAATATTTCAAGAAAGGCAAGAATTAACTATTCTTTTAGTGGTAAAATTGAATCACGTTAAGTGCAAAATGATCGTGGACCGCAGTTTGTGAACCTCTTATACAGGAAGAATCCTGATGATGTGATTACATTTAAAAAAACCTTTGATTGAATTTGATGTCATATTAAAAAAATGTACAATGATAATTCTACGCCAATGATAATTCTTAAGATTGTAACCTTAACAAGAAAACAAACAGTCGTTTTTTAAACGGAATATTTAACAATTTATTCATTACAACAGCGAAATGAACACTTACAATTTTCAAATTTATTTTTACAATAAATAAACAGAAGTAAACAATTTTCAAATACATTAACAATAATAAGGTTTAATTCAAATCGTGCATCTGCTAATTTTCTCCCAAGAAATTGAGACATGTATGTTCTTCAAGCCTCCATCCACCCACAGCCTATGCTCGCTCAACTAATAATCACTTATGGTATGGAACATAAAGAAAGAAGCTGACCTAAAATAAACGCCCTTAAAAAATCTAACAAAAATAAAACAGTAACGATACAAACAAGACCGGCAACATCGCCTGTATATTGTCATCAAATCGTAATCATCCAACAAAAATGGTCATCCCGGCAAAATTCCATCAGCACATCAAAAATTTACGAGATGGCTGATGCGATGATCTGCGATACATTTGCATCGGTGCTCCGAACGGTCATCTGCATGTTGACGCCATCAGACAGGGCCAACTTGGCTCGCACGAGAACATCGTGGCCTCCCCTGAAGATACCAGCTAACAATAAGGTGTGAGCATTCTTGCCTTCGGGAACCTTATCAGAACGCTCGCATGCCTGCAGGCCCAGGAAGTCCATTATGTTTCTCACTGCTCCTGTCAGATGTGAGAAATTTTATGATAAACAACAATAACATTAGCTGAAAAATTAAAAATAACACGAGAAATATGAACAAAAACTAAATAAAGAAGTGCAAATGAAAATGACCTAATCTAGGTTAAACATTTCTTCCTACTGTTACAATGTACTATGGGAGGCACAAACGTACTCATAAGCAAGCAAACATACACGCAAACGCAGAAGCATATAAAGAAACATAATATACAACAATACTGGCAAATACACAGAGGTACACACACATAAACACAAGCAACCCCATGGAGGTACATTTAACCATATGCGCAGGCACACACAAAAGCAGACAACCCACAAACCTTCAACAGTCTTAACAGACGAGAGAGCATAGGTGTCCTCGAGTTCGTTGCCCTCCCCAATTTCGTCCCAAGACACGGAAAAGTTGGGTTTGATGACTTTCTGTGTGTGGTCTGACAAGGCCAGGTCAACATCCTCCAACTGTCGGTATTGTGTTATTGTTATTTCATATTTGCATTCATTTTTGTGCATTTATCATTCATTCACGATCAATTGTTTTAGTTTAGTTTTATTAGTAAAAAAGAACAACACACCACACACATACACACACACTCACATACACGCACACACACACACATACAGAGACACACGTGCATACCACATATTCATCCTTGTATCCTTCCTCATCTGGCTCTCCAGTGTGTGGGTCGCAATCCTTCACCAGAAACTTCATGGTGCAGCTGAATGTTGTCGATACTGTTGAGTCGCAAGATGTTTGTTCATTTCAATAATTCATCTTCAACAATCATTCACGTCATAATTTTCAACAGTCCCTGTGCACAATTTCTTATTCATAACTTGGTGCAGAGTAATTTGTTTAAAAATGTAAAACAAAACTGACCAATCATACTAGACCAGACAACCAAACAATCCTCATTAAGCAAGTCTTTTGTACAAACTAATTACAAAAAAATAACGTCATAAAAATAATTAGATAATCCAATCGACCAAACAAACGCAACACTCTTCAGGCAAATACAAACCAATCAACGGATCTTCAGGCAGTTGAACAAGGGTATAAGTGGTTGCAGGTTTGCCATAGGGAAGAGATGGGATAGGTACGCATCTGATGACTTCAAATCCTTCCGTGTTCTCCATGTGCACAGTCACATTTTCCAAGATTTGATCATTCAACGTGTTTGTACAATCAAACTGTCAGTGTTATTTCATAATTAGAACGACACTGTATACATAAATATATTCGCAACAATCATTCTCTTCAGGTTATAATAGCGGATTCACATTTATTTGGACTCATCGGCACTGTAAATCAATGCATTAACATGTATTATAAAATCAATAAGCTGATCAATCGATTAGGCAACTAGCAATCCACCCATCCACCCACCCACCCACCCGTCCTTCCGTCCGTCCATCCATCCATCCATCTATACATCCAACTATTAATCAGTCGCAAAATGTATAGAAAGACGTACAGCACCATTAATATCAGCCAATGAAATTATAGAAAACCTGGAAGACGATGTGATGTGGGAATGTATGTTTGATGCATCTAACGACATATTCCGTTTCGGCTTCAGTGAGTTCCAGTGGCAGCAATGAAGATTTGAAGAGAGGCCCAAGATTGGCCAACTGCGGTACTGCTGCTAACTGCTCTGTTGAGTGCAAGGTCAAGTACAAGGTCAAGTGCAGGGTCGAGTGCAATGATGGTTGTAGTGTGGTTAGTTGGTTGGGTTTGATAATTTGGCGTTTCTTCGTCCAGTTAGTGTTTAAAATATATAAGCAAGTTTATGTTATCATCATCATCATTATAACCATCATCCTAATTAACATCACAACCAGAGTCATCGTCATCATCATTTTCACCACCATCATAATTGACATCACAATCATCATCGTCATTGTCGTTATCACGATGCTGCCGAAAGAGACCCACCAGCATAAACATCCAGCCTCGACACTTTGGCACTCTCAACTTTCTTTGTTGCTGACGGTTCCGTCCTTCCTGCTGTGAATAAAGATGACGATGATGATGATGGCGAGAATGATGATGGCGAGAATGATGACGATGATGGCGATATGACAAAAAACAACATGATATTAGCGATGATGGATTGACCATAATAATAACGCTGCTATGATGAAATGATGATGAGATCACTAACAAACATCAACTTCCTTTAAATATTCACATATTGACAGAAGCATTGAACGGTTTAAGAATCATTACGTAGCAATACAAAATGAACTACCAAGATTTTGTTGAGTGACAAGTTTGGTGTCGAGAGGGACAGTCTTCAAATCGAAAGGTTCCTTTGAAGGTTCCAGTGTATAGTGATGCAGGGCCGTTTCTAGACCTTTGATACTCACTTGTAGTCCTTAAAATTCAAAATAATAACTGTATAGTTAGAATTGTAATAATTTTAAAAATAATAATGCTACCAAGCCAACATTTAAAAGCACGGAAGCTATTTATGTGGCATATTATCTTTGCGTGCATCTTAAACATCAACAACTTGAAAAATAACAATAGCTAATTAATAACATTCATGTTCTGAGCTAGTGGAAAAGTTTATCCAGTTAACCAAATAATCAATCAAGAATCAATCACTCAAGAATCAATCATTCAATCAATCATGAACCAATCAAACAAGCAACAAATCAAACAATCCAGCAATTTTGTAATCAATCAATCAATCACTTTGAGTGACGTACCATTGATGATGTAAGATAAGTTGAGGCCCTTCTGATTCTCCTTCAATATGTTCAGGTAGAACGTTGCCCTGTCCCTCACCTCATCATCAGTGTCAAATTGTGATCTGTTGGCATGGATGATGATCAAACACTAATGATGATGAAGATGATAGAATATTGATGATGGTCATGGATTTGACATGAACATGCCATACCAAACATTAAATACATGGTTAAAAGTTGAATATACATCAATAATTTGGATAAAAAAAATTAATGAAAGTTATATATAAGGTAACAAAAAGATATGCAGTTAACCTTTCCAACAGGACTATGATGCTAGGGAGGAGCTGTTCACATTGGGCTCCAAACTTGGCCAGGGCAGTTACAGCAGCTTTGAAAGGAGAGATAATAAGAAGAGGAATGCATTGATATAAAAATTTTTAAGAAGTAAAATAAAAAGAAAGAAAGTAAAAATTATCATGTGATCACTGCTTCATTTTTTTTTCATGATCATAAATCAATAATGATTATTAAAAATAGGACATGCAGTTGAGGCCACCAACCAGCTCTAACGGCAGGATTTTCAAGAATGACGCGATTGTAAATGAATCTGATGTATTTGAATGGTTGTGGCGTCCTAGGACCCTCCTGTCCCAGCAGATGGAGGATCTTTGTAGCCAGGACGGTGTGCTCACAATCTTCTATAAATTCACACAAATGTGCCAGTCCTGCTTCTTTTGCCTCAAAGTTTTCTTCGATGATAGACACAATGGATTCAACAATTGCCTTCTTGTACTCAAAACCACCCTACAATTGATGGGTTGTGTTTGTGGAATGAGACAGTTGATGGTTTTATTGCAATTTAATCAACTTATCAACCATCCATCAACCAACATATTAACCATATGTCAATCAAATTATCAACCATTCATCAACCAACTCATCAACGACGCATCAACATACTTCCTCCCTCAGCATCCCAGAGAGGAAACTCATAAGCAAGGAATGCTTCCTCGGAAACTTCAAACACAAGGACCTGATGAATGCAAAGTTGAAAAAATGATTCCCGTAATATACTTATTGCTTGAAAATTTAACATTGCACACTAAGTAAAACCACCGTAACGTTAAAAATAAAACTGATACCTGATAGCTTGGACGACAACGACCTTGAACTCATCTGGAATTTCCGACATGAAGGAGGAAATTTGTTTCATCAGCCTGTCAACACTACTTTCGTTTCCAATCTAAGATTTTCAACAAAAGTTACAACAGCTCAATTACACCAAGCACTGATATATTCAGAAGGTGAAAAATTAGAAAATTAGATGGAACAACTTTGAGTAGAGTAGTGATGGCTAGCGTAGCAATGCTCCTGTTGCTGTCCGTGATGAGGTTCTCGAGGTCGACATTGCAGGTCGTTACAGCAGCTGGGTGCTTCATTGCCACCTTCATGAATGTTTGTTTCCTCATGTATCATTTGTTCTCTATCACAATTATATATCTTAATATATCATATGCCTTCTAACATATGATATATTAAGACATATCAACAACAACAGCAGCTGGGTGCTTCATTGCCACCTTCATGAATGTTTGTTTCATCATGTATCATTTGCTGTCTATCACAATCATATATCTTAATATATCATGTCTTCTAACTGCATCTGTCAGAGCATTTACCAAATATTTTTTTCATTTTTTACTGCATTTAACTTTGTATGCCGATGATGATTATAAATAGGTGCCAAATTATAAATAAAAATGGCCTGAATTAATCAAATCTAAGCAAGAAAATAAATCAACATGAATTAACTAATAATCAGTTGCATGGTTAGAAATGAAACAAATTTACTACATAGAAACTAATTAATCCAGATACAGACAAGAATACATGGAAAGCTACCTACCTTGTTAAGAGTCCTGACAGCAGCAAACCTGAGCGTAGGTTTGGAGGAGCCGCAAAAAAGTTGGAGTACAGAAATGGCAGGTCCCAGCTCTTTCGTGCTGGTCTTCTTCAGGTTGACAATTGCGTGAGCTGCTTCGTAGATGACCATCTCACTTTTGTGACGAAGACAACCCTCTATGAACTCGTACAGAGGTCCTTCACAACTTTAAATAATAACAAATGAATAAATTAATAATGTAAAAAGTAACTTGAAAAAAATTTTTTATTATATTTACCCCAAATCATCATCTTCCAGAAGCTTGCACGAGATTCTAATCTGTTATGTTGATGTAAGTTTAAAAATAAAACGCTGAATTCAACTTGGTTATTAAACAGTTCATTTGTTTGAAGACAGTTTCACAGCAAGTAGACAATTAATAAAACCCCATTGTTACCAGAAAAAAAATTCATTTGAATTCCACAAAAAGTCAAACCAAGCTTTTAAGCTCTTCATGACATTACAGGTTACCATCATTAAAATCAGTTAGTCCAACTTAGCTTACACACATTAATACTGATCTCAACAGGCAACCATCAACAACCAACCAGCAAACATTCTCACGAGTAGACAAATAGACATACAGACCAGTTGACAGAATGCATATGGGGATTTGAGTGTGTGCCTCGTGAATTTGGAGACCATCTTGGTGACTGCCAACTTATCAGACTTTCTAATGTGGTAGAGCAGACCCAACGCATGGTACTGCAAGTGCAGAAAACAAGTTTAAATTACATGCTAATCAAACATTCATCTAACCAATCGACAACCAACTGAATTACCGCACAATAATGAGCCATATACCCAATCAGCAAACATTAATTGATTAATTAATTAGCAATTCATAAATCTATCAACTTTTAACCAACCAACCAACCAACAACCAACCAACCAACAACCAACCTGGACCATGATGTTATCGCTATTAACAGCTTCTTGGGCCTCATTCACCCAACGCTTCACCACATCATTGTTCTGCTGGGCCAAATGCTGAAAATAAGAAAAATTTACTAAAGTATTTTTTTAATTAATTGCCAAAGCAACTAAAAACATAATACTGAAGGAAAACAATTTAATTTTTAAAATCACAATTAATACACACATTAAATCCCAACAATAATTATTATTTTGAAATGAACTACTGCCATAAAAAATTAGTATTTATTTTGTTATCATCAACACTTACATCTCAAATTGGTGTTAAATGATAAATAAATAAACGAACAAACAAAAAATATAAATGTAATAAACAAATTAATTAAATAAATAAATATAAACAAATAGAATGTAATCCTAAGATGTGTAGCGACTACTAACGAGGGCAGAAGCAAGTGCAGCACTGGAAACACTTGGATCCTTATCGACGATGGCTTGCTTCATGTACCTTTCAATACTTTGCAACATGCTTCCCTGAAGAAAGATAAATTATCATACCCTAAAATGAAATACAATGTAAAACAGTATAATACAAAACAATACAGTGTAATATACAACACAATACAATACAATACAATACAACACATACAATACAATACATTACAACACAATACAATACATCCTAATACAATACAATACATCCCAATACAATATAACACAGTACAATATAATACAATAAAAACATGTATAAAATCACATAAAGTTCATGACCAGTAGTGGAGTTGATGGAATGAAGGTGGTGATTATGAAGATGTCAATTTCATGAATAAAATAAATACATATGATGAATATAATATGTATATGTCCATTAGCTAGGGCAGGAAAACGCTGTTTAAAAATCAAATCTAATGAATTGGACAAGGAAAGTAAAAACACCTACATCAGTGATTCTACAGAGTGCTCTTATGGCAGGTGCTCTGAACTGGTCCTCCTGGTTCACAAAATAAATAACAAAATTATTTGCAAACTTTACGAGATTCTTGAAATTTATTATTTGTTAACTAAAACAAACAAATCAAAATATGTTAAAATAATTACAGAATCACCATAAGTTTGTTAAGAAAGAATAATTTAGATATACACCTTTCCTGTCATATCTTTGGTTAAACTACTGGTTACTATGATGACATCATCAGCAATGTCAGCCATCAATTTGATGCACAGATAGACCAGCCTTCTTAATGTTGTCTGTTTAAATTTGAAAATTAAAGGTTTAAGACACAGCTAAGCATGTCAAAACAAAAAAATATGTTTTTAAAAAACTAAATTTTAAAAAATATTTTCAAATAAGATTACATCTTTAGATTGAAACAATTTGGTCATTGCAAAAAATGCCTCAGTGGCTTCAGTTTTTCCAAGTGGTTCACCCTGTAGAAATCAATTCATAAATTAAAAGACTTTTTAAAGTTAAAAAATTTTTCAATTTAATTAATAAATGATAAAATGGTATATTACAACTTTTATTACAACACCACTAGTACTGACAAAAAATAACAACAATAATAATAATTATTGCTATTAAAAACATTAAAATTGTAATTACTTGATTGAGGATGTACATTATTTTGGTGAGAATGAAACAACACTTCTTGGCATTGACAGGAGTTTCATTGAATGTACGGGCCTTTCATAATTTATAAATTTATTAAATAGTTAAAATATGATGTGATTTACATTTAACTATCCATATATTTAAAATTATAAATAATTAACTTAATAATTTATAAAAAAAATAATATGCATCACTGCTTTTAATTTTCAAATGATTATTAAAACATTTAATATTTTTTTTATTAAAACTAAAAATACCCGCTAAATCTTTTAAAAAAGTCTTGGTTAGTTTTTTTATTTTATTTCATTTAGTTAAGTGCTGGCTTTAGCAACAAAATTTTGAATTAATTTACTAATAAAATTATTGAAAATTAAATATAAAATTTCAAGAAAAAAATTTGATTACATCTTGAAGCACAGAACTTTTCTCCAGATTGAAGAAGGGATTGCCCCCAGCTGCAATCAATCATAAATAATTTGTAATGAATGATTCAAATTAAAACATTTCTATTCTATTATTAATTAAATTTCACTAAATATTTTGCTTGTCACCAACTGGTAAACCAACCAACAAACTCTTTCCAATTTAAAAAAATAAGGAAAGCCATCAAATGAAAAAAATTAAAACGAAAACTTATCAAAATTTAATTACCTTCTTCTTCTTTTTTATCTCTCTTCATTTTTCCTTTCAATTTTTTGTAGAAATGTTTAACTTTAGAATTTTTGAAGTCAATGTTGACGATGAAGATGTACTAAACACAACACGTCAAAGCAAGCACCGCGCATGCACAGAAAGTAAAAACATTCTGACATGAGAGCGTTTTATTTTTGTTCTAAAATAATAATTTAATTATTTGTATTGTATGTTTGTAGAGTAGTTTATGGTTAATTATTATTACATATGATTATTAATTATAAAACTATAAACTATTAATTTAAATATATGAAAAACAATCGAGCATACCAATAAACCGATATTGCCAATCGAAATATACCCCAATGATATTGCTTATATTCAAAGACATTATCAAATAGAATATGAAAGAGGCAATTAGAGGAAGACATAGGGAGATAATATATATGATGCTTATACTCATTATATATATCCATGTTTATACTTTACTCTCATATTCATATTCAGTTCCATTCGCCGGCTGAGACAGCTTTATCGGATGTTTGTTCTAATTTGTATTCCACCACAGATGCACAGATTGCTTGCTCTTTTAGACACGAACTCTGTCTTCGATTGTGTCGATCATTCATTACTTTTACGCAAGCTCCAATATTCATTTGGATTGAGTCATACCTTTCTGGTCGAACACAACAGATTCTGTTCAGATCTATTTGACTGTAGACTCATGTTGAAAACTGTCATACGGTGTTGCACAGGAGTCGGTTCTCGGCCCCCTCCAATTTGTGTTGTACACTGCAGTTGTTTTTAAAATCATTGACAGATATAATTTCAAACATCACGTTTTCGCTGATGATATTCAGATCATTGCTAGTGCCCCCTTTGTCGCTTTAATAATCTTGTATGTAGATTTTTATTATGTCTCTCGGAAATTAATGAGTGGATGATGTTAAATAGGCTTAAATTGATTCAATTAAAAACAGTTTTTACCGGTTGGCACTAGACAGTAATTGAAAATAATGAACATTGAGTCTATCAGATTTGGTGATTCTGTTAGTGAATTTTGCACATATGCGCGGAACCTGGGATACGTTTTTTGATAATAATAACATGACTTTTAACGTTCATACAACGGCAGTTTCGAAAAATGCTCTGAACAATTGCGTAGGCTTAGGCGCATCAAACGATCTTCAAGCAAGCATGCCCTTCAATGTCTTGTTCATTCATTTATCCACTCAAAAATAGACTATTGCAATAGTCTATATTACGGCCTTTCTGGTGTAAATATGTCTAGACTGCAGTCGGTTCAAAATTGGGCTGTAAAGTTGGTTTCAGGCAGTTTTAAATACCATCACGTTAAGCCAATTTTTTTTGCTTTTCACTAGCCTCCGGTTTAACAAAAAATTGTTTTCAAGATATGTTTAACGGTTTTTAAATGTATTAAGGGAGTTACTACTAAATATTTAACTGACTGAGTCATTCCTAGAACGATGCCACCACTGAGTCAAACATTGCGCTCTGAGAATTCATGTTTATTGTTTGTACCTGGCACAAACTTGGCTCTTAGTCGAAAGAATTTTTCTGTAATGTGTCTTGCTGTCTGGAATGGTTTGCCTAGGGACCTTCGTGATCCTGTGCTTTCTGTTATTCAATTTCGTAAAAGGCTAAAACATCCTCTTTTAGTCCAAGCTTAACTGTGCTAATGTTTTTTTTTCTCCATTCACTGCATTGCTTTAATAAAGTGCTACGCAATGTACTGCAATAATCGTTAGCGCCTATGAGACCTTTTTAAAGGGCACTTACAAACACCAATAACAATATTAATATTAATAATTTTAATAATATATATGGTTGTACTTTTATTCTATATATAAGGCAAAATCATATACTCAGAATACCTATACAGGCTCTCGAACGAATTTGCGAAATTGCGTTTTAGAGTCTGGTCTCAATTTTTAGTTTCCATGAACAATTATTTTTCAAACTCATCCAATTTTAAAATTTTTACATTTTTATAGTTTATTAATAAATATTTATTCATTTTTTAAAAATTTATTCGTTTCAGTTATTTTTAAATTGATATATTTATTATATTTCATGCATTTGTATGATATTAATGTATGTTAGTATCTTTTTTCTGGTGTACGCATGGAATTATATAACTATAATTATAATTATATAAATATTATATATATATATATATAATATATATATATATTTTTTTTTTTTTTTTTTTTTTTTAATCCAAATTTTATTTGACAGAAAAAAAATAAGTCAGGAGATCAAAAAAGTAACAAACTACTTGTGCAGACCACCTTAACTAATTAAAGTTCGTGTGCAATGTACAAAACACAAAGTAGACAAGTCGTTAAATAGAATTAAACATAATAAAAATATATATACACACACACACACACACACACACACACACACACACACACATACATACATATAATAACATCTTAAACACCGACAGACATGGACATAACTTCGCTCTTAGCATAATGCTTAAAGTGTTCAATTGTAAGTTGCAATTGGTTATGCATAGCTAAAGCGTTCCAAAGTCTAACTCCCTTAGCAACCCAACTTCTATCGTAAGTAGAAGTTCTAACTTTTTTTGACATCAACATACCATGTTGTCTGGTGGCCGATGTGATCTTACAAAAAACAT